AATTTAGCGAATAGTTAAAACTTTTAATTTTGGAATAAAGTTCATAGATTGTGGATTGGAGATTCTTGAGTTAAAGTATTGCAAATGGGTTGAATTAAAAAGTCAAAGAAACACTTGAATTTATGAAAATCGCATAGGGAGGTGATGTTTTATGGAGTTTCTATGGTATTTCAAAGGAACTTTATTTACTTATTTTTATAAGAGAATGAAATATATAAGCTTTCAACTCTACACAATTAACTAATTTTGCAACATATTTTACAAATTTTATATATACTGATGGGACGCTATGAATTTCTAGGAATGTAAGTGCAAGTTTTAATTAAAAGTTTTGATTAGATATGTTAATCAAGAGTGGAACTATAGCTTTCCCAAGGTGTTTGAAATGCTAATTTGGAAACTAATTTCTGTTGGCCTGTGTAAGCATTTGGAACTTTTGAGTGCACATAATATAAGTTATCAAAAAGCCATTAAGCTGTGTACGTATCTATCTAAAATCTCTACTTATGTATAGTATAATAAAATCGCTGTGATTCCTTCAGACACATTTCAAATTTAACATAAATGCAAGGACTAAAAAACAAATTCAAAAGGCTTTGCCGTGCATCTGTGCCAAGAGTGTGTACGTATGAGAGTATACATATATGTGTGTGTGTGAGTGTATGACTGTGTGGGTATACATCGTTGTGTATGTGTGTGTCGGACGTGTGCTGCAATTTAAGAACTTAACCTGCTTCCAATCTCAGTCAAATGGGGTTATTAAAAAAGAATGCTGGGGCAGGCGTTTGAGCAAAAGGCTCATTAGGGGAGAACAAAGGAACTGAGCTTGAAAGACAATTTAATTGCCATAAATATTGGACCTTTTTATGCCTCGCTTTCGCATTTCACTTCCGCTTTCGTCTGCGTCGGCTCGTTGATGGTGAACGTCTCGCTGCAGCGTCATCTACATCTACATCGTCGTCCTCTTCCTCGTCATATTTATCGTTTCTCGTTGCTCTTGACTTGGCTCAAGCGGCTCAAATCTTTTCGCTTGCCTTATCGCTGTCCTTATGCCCGTGAGTCAAACAAAACAAAGGCGTATCGCCCTGGCAGCCCAGGGGGAAAGCAGCGGGAGGGAGTTGGGATGCGGCATTGTTCTTTGTGACTTCCTGGTCGTTGTGGGTCGCCTCAATGACGAGGTATGTCCTTTGTCTAGTAAACTATTTCATCTTAAGTCCGTCTACACTTCGTCTCCCATTCATGACCTGTCGAACAACGTTTGGTTGGCAAGGCCAACCTTTGTTCCGCCGCAAATCAAAAACTTCTAATATTTTACCGCATATCTTCTTAAATTAATTCTCAATCAATTCCTAAATAAATTTGTGCCTCGTTCATAATATATCTTAAGTCATGTAAAAAAGCTAATCGAAAATAAAGTTTACATTTTATATAATAAAAATAATAAATACATAAATATTTTACGAATATCAAAAAACTGCGGGAATGTTGAGCGCACACTTATTAGCATTCATCCAGCTTAAAAAGTTTTTAAAATTGCGGCACAAGCAAAAGTTGCCTGCAATTACGACTCAAAATTTTGAGTTGAATGTGACATTTTGGCAACGATATTATTTGGTCAGCAGCAGCTGTGCCCCTTGCTGTGGCATGTGCTTATTAAGCGACATGGGGCTTGCAACGGAGATCAGGCAAAAGTTTCTGCCATAATCCCAAATCAAGTTGCATACCGTGCGGCGCAGTTGAAGCCAACTGAATGTGAATGTCAGCTTAAATATGAATGTCAACACCCAACAGCAGCAGCAGTAGCATCTGCTCTAAACTTATTGGGGTTTGCACATGCTCGTGTGTGAGTGTGAGTGTGTCGCTCGTACCTATTTAATTTTTTGCTGCCCTTCGCTTTGTAAGCATTTTCCGCCGCTTGGCTGTGTCTATTTTTGGAGTTGGTTCAAGTCGAGTTGAGCTGCTGTTGTTGCTACTATTGTTCTTGTAGTTGTTGCTGTTGCTGTTGTTGTCTCGCGTGCTTCGTGCCCTCTGCTTATTGGATTTTGCTGCTTTCTCTGGTACTTCGTCGAGTAACCGTAACTACCGCACGCTTTAAATCGCTGTTGTGTGTCAGGGCCTGCTCCACATCTAAGTCCATGCTCGTTTCGCCCAGAAACACCCTTCCCCTCCCCTATTCCAGACCCTTTAGTAGTATTTGTATGCGTGCTGCGCCAGCTCCATATATCGATTTTCGCCCTGTTATTTTTTTCTTTTTACTCAAATGCGCTTTGATCTAAATGATGAAAACAAAATAAATCTTTCGATTTGACAGGCATAAAGTGAATGACAATCCATTAAACTGCTAAATAAAGGGCTGTTCTGCTGTCTGTGTAAAGTAAAAATGATCAAGCTATTTATTTAATGGATGTTTCGATAAAAAATATTACATATTTAACAAAATAAATAATAAAAATATAATGTGCTTAATATGTTAGCAACTTTGTTAGCGATGTGCAACAACCGATATCTAATAATAGTTATGGGAAGAAAACGCATTCTTCAAAATAAAGTATGCGAGAATTTAAAGAAAATAACTTAATAAAAATAAATCATTTTTTGTAATATATTTTTTAGGTATTTTGAATCCTTAATATAATAACGGCTATTATTAAGCACGCCTGAAAGAGGAAGAAACTTTCATCATTCATCAATTAACATATTAACCATAAAAGTATGCAGTAAACTTTGTTCAACAATTACAATAATAATGTGATACTATCAGTTATAATCTTATATGCATATATAGTATACTGGAGTTTGTTGAATGAATTCAAACTTGACATTGTCAAGGGAGCCTCTTAGCGAGAGCCAGCGCGCATGGTCCATTGTTGGGGGGTTTAACTGGATGTCCCGCTGCTATCAATAGGCTGTGATTCATGCAACACATGGCAGCTGTGCGTCAGTGGCTGGAAGTGGGTCAAACTATGCAACTTTGACCCGATTTCTAGCCATAGATGTACTCAAATACAGGTTCTATAGACGGTATATGGTCAATTGTAAACTCGATTTTAAACGCCCATTTATACGTTGCGACCAGGTGCTGCTCCTAAAGTGGAAACTGAGCCAACCAAGGGTCGCGCCACAGTGTCTAAAGTCCTTTATTTTTTTATGGGTGGATGTCGCTGCTATGACATCACGAGCTCAAAGCGGGCGAACGGGCGAGCCACCCCCTGTGCGGTGGGAGGCGTTAAGTGCCCGGCTAACATGTTCGGGGGTTGCAAAGAACTGCTCAAACTCAAAGATGGAGGCCTAGAAGAAAGGTGGATGGCGTAGAATGTTGCTGAGTGGAGCCGAGTGGAAAGCAGCAGACAAAGCGACAGCAAACAAATCACGTGCAGCTCAAAAAGGGAAACAACATCCAACTACAAAACGTTTTATTCTATTAATTTTATAAATTTACGCACCTTTTAGAATTTATTTCTAATTTATGTATTTACATATATATTTTGTTATTTTATTTTGGAATATTCTTTGGTCTGTCTCGCGCAATAAAAATCAATTTTTACAAGCGTCGCGACGTGTTTTTGTTTTTAATGGTTTCTTTCGCTTATTTTTTATTTTTTTTTGTTTTCAGTTTTCTTTTATTTGTGCCTCGCTGCTTTCGTGCTTTTGACCGACGAAAAGTAAAAAACGTATACCGTGAGCAATGATTTTTTTGTGAAAACTGCAGAAAATCACAAAGTGCTTGGGAGCAAATTGTTTGGGGAAACCGCAAAAACAATCACAAAACTATTTGCACGTTTTTGTTTGTTTGTTTGAGTAAATGTGTTGAGCGCCGTGAACAAAATAATTAAACGGAAAATTGGTCAACCGAGCGTAAGCGCGCACGACTCATAACTGCAGGCGACTGCTGCCTGCGAAAGTCGGAAAGTGAGAAAGCTCAGCGACGGGAGCGTAAGCAAATGTGGGGAGAGCGAGAGCGACATAATAATAAGGAACTTGCGCACTGTTCAGAGTACTCTCTCGACTCCTGCATGCATGTGAGCTTTTTACATGAGCGTAGTTAACTACTCTAGTGGGAGACAGTGGCAACAAAAGAAACGGCACTTTGATCAACATTTTTACAGACAACGCCACTGCATATTGACTTTGTTATTGTTGCGGGCTGCGAGAGAGGATGCGCAATGCAGTTATTGAAGTAAACATGTGCAAATACACCCCCGAATTGGTTCTCTCTATCTCGCTCTCTGCTTGAGCAAGGGAAAATAGGAGAACAAGTTTTTGCTCACCAAATATTATTTACATTACGCATTAAAGATATCATAAGTTATTATGTGATACAACTGGCTTAAAAATGAATATAAATAATTTATTATATTAATACAGGTGCATTCAAAACTTATAAAATAATAAGTTAAAAAAGATTTAAATATTAAAATTGAATACTTAACGGGTTATAATACTTAATAACTATAAAATTCAAACGTTATGTATATACATGAATATCTAACCCTAAGCTTAAGTCCTTAAAAATAATCCAACAAGTCGTTCGCGTGCTGCTTCTTTGTTTAGCCAGGCGTTGTACTTAATATTTCATGCTCTGCTGTCTGCGCTCTTTTATTTTGTATGCAAACTTTACCGTGCGCTTCTGTGCATTCCACCGCAATCCGTCAAAATAACGCTCTGACATACAAACATATGACTTTATCTTTGATTCTGCTACAGACACATTTTATATTTTTCTTCTCAGCTAGTTATAATGAACTCATTTAATCTTAAATTTGAAAATGTTATACAAGATAAACTTCTATGAACTCGATTTAAAGATACTTTAAGATTATGAAATTAATTTCATATAGAAAATTTAAACGGAAGTTAGCTATTCACATATTTCACACTGTAATTTAAAAATACGCGCTCTGTACTTTCGTTATACTACGCTGTTCTCGATAATTCGATAAGACATCGATACATAACGATATATTAACATAGGTATTTTCGTGAGAATAACATAAGAACTGCGCGTTTTCCAGCACTAACTCGCGGCCAAAGGAATGCAAATGAGAATTGTAAAGAAGAAGAGCAAAATAATAGACCAAAGCAATTATTGCTGTTGTTATAATTAAAAAATGTCTTCAACTTCGGCGGCTGCATCAAATGCAACGCCAGCAAAAACTGAAGTACGCTACGTGACAGAAGTGCCCAGCAGCCTCAAACAGTTAGCACGCCTGGTTGTCCGTGGCTTTTACTCGCAGGAGGACGCGCTCATTATAGACATGCTTGTGAGGAATCCCTGCATGAAGGAAGATGACATAGGCGAACTGCTGAGGTTTGAGAAAAAACAGCTGCGAGCGAGAATCACGACTCTGCGCACCGACAAGTTTATACAGATACGCCTGAAAATGGAAACGGGTCCGGATGGAAAGGCTCAGAAGGTCAACTACTACTTCATCAACTATAAAACATTTGTAAACGTGGTCAAGTACAAGTTGGACTTGATGCGCAAGCGCATGGAGACAGAGGAACGGGATGCGACTAGTCGCGCCAGTTTTAAATGTTCCACGTGTTGCAAAACCTTCACAGATCTCGAGGCGGACCAACTCTTTGACATGGCAACGTGTGAGTTCCGGTGTACCTATTGTGGCAGCTCCGTGGAAGAGGACAGTGCGGCTATGCCAAAGAAGGATTCACGTCTTATGCTTGCACACTTCAATGAGCAACTGCAGCCGCTGTACGATCTACTGCGCGAGGTGGAGGGCATCAAGCTGGCGCCAGAAGTGCTCGAACCGGAGCCCGTAGACATTGACACAATTCGCGGCATAACCAAGCCGAATGCACTGCGTCCCGAAGGACAGCAATGGTCGGGAGAGGCGACGCGCAACCAAGGCTTTGCCGTTGAGGAGACACGCGTGGACGTTACTATCGGTGGCGATGACAGCGGAGACGCTGTTGTCGAGCGGAAATCGCGACCTATTTGGATGACAGAGAGCACTGTGATAACGGATGCAGATGCGGCTGATGGTAGCGCCCACGCTGAGGTCGCCCAGTCGTCGAGCACGTCTGGGCATCGCAATAAGAAGGAGAACGAGGACATTATGTCGGTGCTGCTACAGCACGAGAAGCAGCCGGGACAACGCGAAGCGCACATGAAGGGGCTGCGCAAAGGCTCCTCAAATGCTAACTCAAGTGATTCCAGCGACGATGAGAACGACATTGACAACACCAAAATACGTAAGTTCTATTGCGATTTTTATAATCTCTTAAGTTTGCTTCATCTGATGATTCTTTTCAGCGAATGTCAATTTCGATAATTATATCAACTCGGAGTCGGATGACGATGATGATGATGTACCCACGGTACTGGTGGCGGGACGTCCGCATCCTTTGGATCAGCTGGACGATAAGCTTATTGCACAGATGACACCACAGGAGAAGGAAAACTATATACACGTCTATCAACAGCACTATAGCCATATATACGACTGATCCTTCACCCAATTAGGCATTAGGTTTATAGTCTCAATGTTAGCTTAAGCATATTAAATTGGCGCATGACGCTAAGAAGCAGAAAACAAAACTTAATCTATCAATCGGATTGGCGCCAAAAAAGTCGGCTACTCGGAGCTCTGCAGCCAATCAGCTGTTGTCTCTGCTATCGTTAACATTAGCTACATGAAGTTGGCTGCGTATGCAAATGTCAGTCAATGTTAGTTAACACTGCTGACTTTACCAGCCAACTATTATCGGAATTCTTGTGTTTATGTTTTTTTACATTCGCATCCAGAGCATGCTCGTTGTTGGTGTTGTGGGCGTATATTGAATACATATGTCAACGTGTGTGTGCTCAAGATAAGCGGCCAGTGCAAAAAGTAATTAAGATATCCCCGTGTATAGAATAGAACACACCGTGTCAGTACACCGTCGCCGCTGGTTATTATTCTAATAAGATTCGCAGCCAACGCGGATTGAATTGCGTGTGCTTAGAGTGAATTCTATATATATCTGGATTAGCATGGAATATGCTATGCTTACACCTACAGACAAGCGTGTAATGTTAACACCTGCAAATTCATTCGGAATACAAGAAACGTGATCACTCTATACACACACACACACCGACGATACAAAAAGAAGTGCATGATACGAAAAAGCGCTTGAATTCTCGATGATAAATTATGCTTGCCACAGCTGATTTCCCAAAATTTACTTAACAATTTAATTAAAGTGCACTGACATTGTGAATCGAACCACTTGCCAGCAGTTCGGCAAACCATCAACACTGCTCAGGCCAATTGGAATTGATGAATTGCTAATAGCCGATTGAGTTTGACTAACAAAGACAGCAAGATGAAGACCAACATTGATAAGGACTTGCTGCCTATGAAGGCGCATTACTTTCTCTTCAATGCCGGTAAATTATAATACGCTCCATTAACTAATGTCATTCATATCATAGATTCTTGGCAATTTTAACAATTTAGGCCTGCTGATAAGACTCGAACAAATAACTGATAAGAACTTGACAGTTCATCTAGTTGGTGTGCAAAGTGTATTTATATATAACAGATCTGATAAGAAAACCAATCAAATAGATATTCGATAAGCATACAAAGTGTCTCGATAAATATGTTTGGTAAATAGTAATTGTTTAAACAATTAATTTAATCAATTCGAGCGTAGAAGCCGATCTACACTGCGCTACAAATTTATTCTATAATTGTTCGCGTCGAGTATATTTATATATTTTTATCTTTTGTGCCGTTTACTATGCAAAACAGACCAACATTATTTTTAGCCAAGGCTCGCCTTTTAACTGACGTGTCTTACTTTAAGATGAATTGCTCACAATCAAGAAAATAAACATTAAGTTTTAAATAACAGGAACGAGAATTCAATTAGAAATCAGACACAATTTAACATTTCATTATTTAATTAATTAATTTTTTTTTTAATCTTTTATCATATTTAAAATATAATAATAATAAAATATATTTATTTATTTTTATTTTTTTTTTTTATATTTTAATTATTATTATTTTATCACTTAGCTTCTATATTTTATTTTTATAATTATAATAATTAAGTATATATTTTATTAAACTTTAAATATATTTTTAAGACTTTCAATAAATTATTAAATTAATTTGTATTATATATTTATTTGTATATATGTATTTATCTATCTCCCTTTAGAAAAATACAGTTTAACTTTATTATTTTTTAACAAATTTCAAATATCAAAAAAATAACCACATTTTTTTTATCAATTTCACCAATAATGCTAATTTATTTATTTTTTTTAATTTTTATTTGGCTTATTTATTTTTATTTTATTTTTTTATTATTTTTCTTTAAATATACAATTTTTTGTATTCTGAATAACATTAAAGATTACAATTGATATTTATTATTTAAGTATTATTTTATGTATATGGGCAAATGCTTGAGTTATTATTCCATATAATTTTATATTTAATTTTTTATATAATTTTTTTTTATTTCACAATTATTTTTTTTTATTAAAGCTCGGTCATTCTTTTTTTTATATTTTCGCACATTTTGTTGCTTCACAGTTTTAGTAGCACGAACACGTCGTGTTCGTGTCACGCAGACAAACCCAAGCACGCGTCCCACTTTGACGTAAAACTACAATGAAAGCATTCAGCTTAACGGCGTCTCGTTTTTCTTGATAAGCCCTGAAAACCCAGACACCTGGTCAAAAGGGTGGGTCAAGCGTTGACGTTGTCAACATTATATCCCAACGGTACTTTGCCCTTGATAAGTCCCAAAGCTGCAATCAGCTATTAAAAAGAAGAATTTTCGCTTTTAAACTAATTAAAAGTGTTCTACTTGACGACTAAAAGCACAAAGGCATAAATGTACATACATACATACGTACATATATGTATGTATACTTGGCATATATACATATGTATGTATCTGTAGTAGTACGTGATGCTATATGATACACATTGTAATTGTTGTTGTTGTTGTTTTTTCTTATCAGCTATAAACACCCACATTTAGACAATTGTTGCTAATTGTTGTCGAGCTGTGTGCGTATACCCTGTAAAGTAACTAGTGCTGTTATAGGGCATGCTCCATGCATGGTGCGGAGCATAGGGTATCTGCTAGCAGCGCAGGCAACTAGATGTCTTTACAGATTTATCCTAATTTACATATTCTATTTTTATTCTGACTTGATTCATGTTTCTGGTTTCTCACAGGCACCGCACCCGTTGTACCCTTTATGCCGCCGCTGGCTAAGCAGCTGGGCTACTCCGATGTCGTCGTTGGCACCATTTACATGATATTGCCCATTGTTGGTTTGCTGGCGAAGCCGCTCTTTGGCTACATCGCTGATCGGTAAGTGGCGCAAGCTCAACTATCGCCTCTCTATGTGATTTTCACGAGTGAAGTTCGGTTGGGTACGCCTTTCTATGCGATTTTCATGAGTGAGATTGGCCAAGTGAATAATAGAGCTTTGAGATAGTGATCGAGAGAGATTCTGAGATAGAGAGAGAGCGAGCGAGAGCAAGTAGAGGATGACTAAGAGAATGAGAGAGAGCGAGAGAGACAGAGAGAGAGAGTGGGACAGAGGGACAGTAAGATCTTGCTTCATTTGATAGATTCTGTTTCTCCAAATTGAAAACGTTTAGCTATCAACGCCATCGGTTTCTCTTCCTGGCTGGACAGCTGCTCACAGCTGTGGCCTTCTTTATGGTCATGTTTGTGCCGGCCGTGGAGAGGCCACAGTTGCATTGCCACGCCGGCGTGTCCAACATACGCTACTGCTCCAACTATCCAAAGGATGCGGAAGCGCAGCTGGAGGCATTCTATGGAAATCGCACGCTCACCTGCAACATGAACTGCCAAATGGCGTCGGACATGTGGGATATAGTCTGCCAGCACTGGCTGAAAGCGAGCCCAACGAGCGACTGCCAGGCGAATCGAACGAAGACCACGATCCAGTTTTCCACCTACATCAATATGCCGGGCTTGATCGAGGAGTCGCAGAACAATGTGAAATGCCTGAACTTTCTAATTCCACACGACCAGGGCACAATAGACTCCCGCAACGTGACGCTCTATTGCCCCAAGGACAAGCCGATGTTCCAGTCCAGCTGCCAGATGGACTGCAACGATAAGTTCTTCAGAGAACTTCTGCCCGACAGCACGGTGATCAACACGAGCAGTGCAGTGGCTCTGCCCGAGTTCTGGTTCTTCTTTGGCTTGCTGATCATCAGCTGGGTGGGCATGGCCGTCGTGGTGAGCATTGGCGATGCCATCTGCTTTGGCATACTGGGCGACCGGCATCACCTGTATGGCAGGCAGCGGCTGTGCGGCTCCCTCGGCTGGGGCATCTTCGCACTGCTCGCCGGCCTGCTGGTGGACACGATGTCCAAGGAGGGCAGCCTAGACAAGAACTACACGATTGTCTTCTGGATGACGCTGATCATAATGGGCTTCGATATGCTCGCCTCCACCAAGCTCAAGGTGAGTTGCCTGAACTACACAGAAAAAGCAGTGGCATTGAAAGGGTCCTCTTCTCCGGTATCTGTAGCACACCCAGACGCACATGTCGGCCAACATATTAAGGGATGTGGGTCAAATGTTTCTATCAATGCGCTGCATCGTCTTCTTCCTCTGGTGCGTGGCCATTGGCCTGGGCACCGCGTTGATTTGGAACTTCCTCTTCATCTATCTGGAGGAGCTGGCGAAGCCGTTCGACAATGGCACCAACTTCATCAAGACGCTGGAGGGACTGGTAATGAGCATTCAGTGCTTTGGAGGCGAACTGCCCTTCTTCTTCATGTCCGGCTGGATACTGAAGCGCATCGGCCATGTGAATGCGATGAGCCTGGTGCTCTTTGGGTTTGGCGTGCGCTTCATATTGTATTCGATGCTGCAGAATCCCTGGTATATACTGCCCATTGAGCTGCTCAATGGCGTCACCTTTGGCCTCTTCTATGCGACAATGGCTTCGTATGCTAGCATTGTTGCTCCGCCAGGCACAGAGGCCACCATGCAGGTAGCCATAAGTCCAGAGAGACCCTATACAATAATCCTACTTCAAGTTGTTTCCTCCACTTTTCAGAGTCTTGTGGGCGCGATCTTTGAGGGCATCGGCGTCTCCATGGGCAGTCAAATCGGTGGCCAGCTCTTTGATGCTGTTGGCGCACGCATCACCTTTGAGATCTTCGGCATTGGCGCCTTCATAATGTTCGTCGTCCATGTCTGCGTCCAAATTTACCTCCAGCGCAATGGCCCAACCGAAAATGGTAAGGGTAGGTCCTCGACTGCAGAGTCCTCCACTGCATCTGCATCAGCATCCGCAACTCCCGACTGCCCGACTAGCATTAAGAAGCTCGATGGGTTTAGCGATGTCGATTTGAGCTGAGGTCAGAGTTTGTAAGAGGCTTACGACATAGGTCAATTACGATCCCAAACACTATCAGCCAATCCCTTGCAGTTTTTTACCATCATTTCCGATAGAATTTACAAATGAATTTATTATCTGTTCCGATAGATAGGATACTAAGATATTACCAGATATGGGACAATAACTAGAGGACTTTCAGCTATTTAGATATTACCTGATATTAAAACACATACAGCTAATAAAGTGTAAAAAGACAACGTTTATTCAAGAGCTTTACAACATATTTTGATACATGCTGTTTACTAGAGTTGTAGGCTGGTTTACATACAACAATCTTATTTATACATATGAAATTAAAAGAAATTTGCCACATGGGTTAACTTTAGATATTATATAAAATACAAAGAAATATACGTATATCAAATATATTTCTTGAACTCTGCTCAATCACAGCTTTTCTCAATTCTGCATTTTTCCAAATTCCTTTTGCTTTTTTACATATGTTTTTTATTAATGACAAAATTGTACAAAGGCCAAAGTTCATACAACAAAATAAAATTGGTAATAAAAGTTTCGCACTTATTTTTAAATACATTTAAGGCATTGCATCGTAGTTATAAATGCATCTCTCTTACGTATTACCATCAACTAAGATACGTTCGATATTCAGGTATTTCGTAAAGAATTGATTCACATATTTATCGACAGTTAGACATAAAAGAATTTTACATTTTTGCAAAAACTAATTCATCTCTCAAATACTTTTAGGCACTGTCAAATATTTTGCACCGACAGATGCAATGCACATGCTGAATGAACAGGAGTATTCAGGTGTTAGCTAAACAGCTCCTCCTCATCCTTCTCTGTGATCTGGCGATTTACCGAATTCGTATACTTGCCAGCGTGAAACGACACACAATCAGCCAAGAAAACAAAAGAAAAACCAAACAAAGCAAGAGAAAACACTTTTCCTGCTGCTGAATCAGAACAATTTCTTCATCCACTTGCTGCATGTTGAGTGTTAAATATTCAATCTCGATTGTAATTATAATAATAATTATATATAATTGTACTATAATTTTAGTAATGCTAGCAACAAATTCCACACACACACACACATTTTTAAATTAGTGCATGCTTGTGCTAAGTTTATGCGCAGCAAATCGTGAAATAGAACAGATACATATATACATATGTATTTTATTTTTAATCAATTTTAAAATAATCTTATGGTATTTCTAGATGTGATATATACCTTTCTCATTATCTTGTTAAATTAGTTAAATTCAATTTGTTAGCTTATCACGATATGCTAGCGCATAAACGTAGCTCGTACATATACATTGTTAAATTGAAATCGCATGTCTTGAAACTGTATTTGAAGCTCTAAAGTTTGTAATTGTCTCTGTTTTGCGCTGTGAGTGTTTAATTATTATATTTTTTAAACAATTAGAAATTTGAAAAAAAAAAAGAAATGTTCAAACATTGTTAAAATTATCCTATCAAATTTATCTTTTCATGCATGGGAAACTTATGTCAATCTCGAAAGTATTTTTTAAATTATGTAGAATACAGAAATTGCACTCTGGCTTGTAAATTGTACATCATTGTGGATGTGTGGCTTCCTTAGCTTTTAGTTTGGAGTCTTGTCAGCTTTCGCAGTGTTCATTATGTTTGAGTACTACGAGTTTATAATTAGTTATAACATTTAAATATATCTATGTTTCTATTGCAACTAATTGCCGATGAGCGACTCCTCGTGCTGTTGCTTTTCGAGTTTACGTTGGTAATCGCGTTGCTTACAGGCTGCGATGTTTACAGCCCGTTTCTGTAATCAGAAATACGATATATATATATTTTATACACTTAGTTATCAATTATAAATATGATTGCATGTGTTGTACTAGTTTGTAAACACTGTTAATTCTTGTTTTTATGGTTTTATGCTATACAATAAAGATTGTTTTTTGGTTTTCTTTTCACACTGTCGCCTCACCTTTAAGACTTTAGAACGTTGATAAATGGTCTGCATATCCTTTTTGATTTTCATCAATCTATCCTTGTAGTGCTTCACGTTATTCATCTGTGTGTAGACGGTAAGGCAAACGTATTTCATTATATATCATGCGCCATTTACATAAAACACTTATCATATATCATAAATTGCATTTAAATGGAAGCGATAAGAGTTATATGCCTCAGTTCAAATAGCCAGACATTGTTTATTGTTGATATAAACAATTGCGTGAATATCAAGGGCACTTCAGCGACTAACTAAACTCTAATCTTTAAATTAGTATTTCCCTTACCATTTCGAATAATTTTGATATCTCGCTGCAATCCAGCTTATATTTCTCCTTGGATAGATCAATGTAGAATTTGTTTTGTTTGCCTCTGCAATAGAGTTAAGCGTAAGTATTTTATGTTATGTGATTCCAATCTTAAATCAGAACATTACGTACATCAATTCCTTGAGCTGAGCGCGAACTCGTACCAACGGCGGTTCAGCTATTTGAAGTACTCCAAAGGACATTTGCAAAGCCGCCAAATTGCATCCATTTTCGTCTGCTTTCACCTGTACATTGTTGTTGCTGTTAACTGAATTCTCGGGAGCTGCGACGGCTCCACTGGCCGTGCGATCAGCTTCCAGTTCACCAATAACACTAAATGATAACACAAATGTACAAATTAGTTATACAGACTACTAGCCATAGATTACCTATCTAAGTTGCTGCTTTTCAACATTTTTAAATTGTAAAATGGACGACAAAGCTTTAGAATGCAAAAAATATTTGTCAAAAGTTTGTTTATTATAGTGCTGTGTATGTTAAAAACAGCTTGCACTTATCGATATTGGAGCTATCGATAACTTGCTCCACCAGCCATAAGCCAATCAGCTGATTGGGCTGAAATTTGTTTATTTTTTCGCATTATGCGTATTTACAACTCATAATCAGCATATATAATGCGTTGTGCTGTGAGATATTGTGGCAATAACAATCGAAATGGCAATAAAAGTAATTGGCGTTACTTTCACTTTCCGAAAGACAAGCAACAGCTCAAAAAATGGATAGAATTCTGCGAGCGCGACATAACAAACACAACGACAGGTAAGTTGTTTTCTAACTAAGTGAATAAATGAATAATAAATCGCTTGTAAGCCTGCATCTGTAATGAGCATTTTACACCGGAAGATTTTGAGCGAAATATGCAATATGAGCTCGGTAAGTATAGGTATAAAAAGTTTAGTTAGTCTTAATTACAGCGATTTGCTTGCAGGTTTTACACGCAAGAATCCAACAAAATTAAAGCCTGGATCCTGTCCTAGCATACATGGACCACAGACTAAGCAGTTACTCAATAATTCTAAGGGTAAACGTAACAGTTGTAAAGAGGATACACGAACTGCCCACTCAAGTGGTTTCCTGAATGAGAAGGAGGAGGAGGACGAGACTTCCAAAACTCCACAACTTGAGCAAGAGGGTGAAGCTGAAAACGGGAACACTCTTTACCAAAACTATGAAATGATAGAGTATATTAGTGAATCCGATGAGTATACAAGTGTACAGCCAACTGATGAAGTGCGTCGAATTGAGCTCGAAATTATTGATCCGCTTAATCCTCAAACAAATGCTGAAGACCATATAGAGATTATCGATTCGGAGGGTGACAGCTACGCGAGGCATTTAGAATGCGAAGTGTATGATATGAGAATCATCAGATTATAAATATATATTCACAAAATCCACATTTTATATCAACAGGAGCAGCCTTAAGCGTCAGGTTTTCTTCTTGAAAGATGAACGTAAAAAACTGATCGATGAGATCCAAAGTCTCAGAGCAACAGTTCGAAACGCTAGACTAAAGCACGATGCCTTGGAGAGCCCGAATCTTTCCAACAGTAAAATGGTTCGTTTTCGCCTTAAGCTAACTCTATTATAATAAAATAATAATACATAAATTTACAGATTTCAAAAAGCAAACACAGACCTCCAATGAAGAAGACAGTCATGCTATACACAGCAAATATTGATACCATCAGAAAACTACGAAAGATAAACAAAACGACTGAATAAAATTAGCTCAAATAACTAAAATTTATAAATATATAAACTAAATATTTTTATACACACTTTTTTGCATTATTTATACATGATTAAGCTTATCTTAGCACTTTGTTTGCAAGCAACGCACAAGTCAATCCCGCAGAAACAGTCAATTTTTAAGAATTTTATCTGTAGTTTCCCAGAAAAATGTAGCTAATCTCTTTCTTATGTCTTATGTCGGACATTGCTATCATAAGTCAGCCGTAACGAGCAGGCAAATGAGTTTTGTGGGTTGTTTCTTCTTATCGCGGAAATTTTGACTGGTAAATTTCCAACAAGGTCAAAGTCATTAGGACTAAGAGACCTCGGAACCAACATATTGAAACATTGAGCTGACCCTGCCCCTGCTCTACCTGCAGGCATATAAAAGTGAGCTGCAACTTTCAATCGACCTGCACTGCAAGCGAAACACTCTGGAGATCAACAACGTGCTCTGACCGGACCAGCAACCCTGGCCAGTGGGCAATAGGAGCTGTTGCGACGTGGAGTAGAAGTACGAAATCATCTGGACGATTTCATTGAACTGAAACTCCATGTAGTCGGCAATGGAAAACGAAGTCCACATGGAACTGGAAGCGACTGGAGGAGCAAAACCCATGGAATTCCGCCAAGGCACTCGCTTGTTGTGTCAGCAACTTAGGCAAAATTAATCTATTTTAGTTTAATTCTAGAAATCAATTGTAAATAGTCCCCCACTCCCATTTAGTCAAATTTATTTAGAAAATTGTACAAATTAGCAAATTTTATTTAGTTAATTAATTATGAGTATATTCTAAATATACGTGATATTCACTGCAATAAAATGTAATTTACGCCCCCCAAAAAAAAAAGTTTTTTATTTTAGTTTTTAAATTGAATCCAATTACATTATATTTCACTCTCAAATATCTTAAATGAAGAGAAAATAGAAAATCAATTCTCACACACTCTTAAAAAGTTTTTTAATTACAAATTTGCATAAAAATTATGCTTAAAATAAATACTTTTTATTTAATTCATAGATCTTCTGTCTAAAAGTCGCCTTGAATTGAATTTTAGATCTTACTCAACTAGAAAGCGTATTGAGAGTTCTATAAAAATAATAAAATTCCATTTAAGTATTGATAAAACATAACTGCGTTACCTAGCAGCTAAATCTACTGCTTCGCCTTGTTATGCTATAACAGTTAGTCTTGAGCCGAGAATTGAATTATAAACTTAAGCCTAAAGTTAGCTTAATATGGAATATATATTTAAGAAGGAGCGACGCACATTTGGTTCTCGCGTGCAGTTCGAGGACAAGGATGAGGTGGTGTTTAGCGAGAACTCGAATCCAGATCTGGTCAAGAATTATATATTGAAGAATCCTGTGGATCGTTGCACGCAATATGCGGGGCAGACATCGCTGAGTGTGGCCAACACGGAGCGCGCGACGTACAAGAGCACGGGCATAACACACAATGAGGGCGGCTGGCCGAAGGACATCAATATGCATGACCCGGAGCAGACGGTGCGCTACAAGCGAAAAATTGAAAAGGATGAGAATTACATAACGCAAGTGATGAACCTAACCAAGCCCATGGAGCACTACATATTCCAGAACAATGCGGTCAACATCTATGAAAATTACTTTGAGAACATGGAACCAGCTCCACTGCCCGAGCCCTGTAAGTCGCGCACGGTAAACGTCTATCGTGATCCCAATCCGGTAAAGGTGCCCGTGAAGCATTTGTCCTGGTCGCCAGATGGAGGCATCAAAATGGCCGTAAGCCATTGTGATATGAAGTTCCAGGGAGACAAGACCGGGCAACGCTGCAACTCATACATCTGGGAGGTGGAAAATCCAAACGAACCATTCCTAACGCTGGAGCCGAAGGTCCCATGTGTGTGCCTGGAGTACAATCAAAAGGATCCAACCAGTCTGGTCAGCGGCATGTACAACGGCCAAGTGGCTGCCTGGGATACACGTCACGGCAAGCATCCCGTGATGATTAGCGAGCGTGAGGTTTGCCATCGTGATCCCGTCAATTCGGTGCTCTGGAATAACTCGAAGAGCGGAACGGAGTTCTTCTCTGGGGGCTCCGATGGCCAAGTGCTGTGGTGGGACACACGCAAGCTTAGCGAACCGCTGGATCGACTACTGATGGATCCGGTTAAAGGCGATGAACAGGATTTATCGCGCTCCTATGGCATCTCGGTATTGGAGTATGAGACGACCATACCAACTAGATTCATGGCTGGCACCGAGATGGGCATGCTCTTCTCCTGTAACCGCAAAGGAAAAACACCCACGGAGAAGATACAAATCAGGGTGAGATTCCTTAAAATCTCTCCTTAGAATCTCTTAATCCTCAAACCGTCTATTTTCAGATGATGTGCCACCTGGGTCCTGTTTATGCCATTACGCGCAATCCTGCTTTTGTGAAGAATTTTCTAACCGTGGGCGATTGGTGTGCGCGGATCTGGTCCGAGGACTGCCGTGAGAGCTCAATTATATGGACCAAGAGCAGCTCCTCGATGTTGACAGACGGCGCCTGGAGTTACACGAAGTATAAATTAAAATTTATATGCCGACAACATGATGGAACTATTACCTTCCTTGTCTTAGGGTTTCACAATTCTTTATCACTCGCATGGACGGCGTGCTGGACACTTGGGATCTGCTGCAGCAGCAAAACGAGCCGGTGCTAACGGTAAAAGTCTGCGATGAGCCGCTCTACTGCGTGCGAACCAACGAGAATGGCAAATTCGTCAGTTGTGGCAGCAAATTGGGGGCCACATTTCTTATAGAGGTTTCCGACAATATGGTAATGTCAGCTAAGAACGATAAGCCACTCCTGACGGCGGTAAGTAGCAGCACTTTGTATACAAAATAAGATTATTTAATTCTTTTTTTTTTCAAAGATGTTTGAACGCGAAAATCGACGTGAGAAAATCTTAGAGGCCAAGTCGAGGGAGAGTAAGCTAAAGATTAAGGCCAACCATGGGCAGGACCAATCCGATTTGACCATGTTAAATGGTAAAATTAACATGGAGCCATTTGCCAGCGCCTGTGAACAGGCAGCCAGCGAATACTTTTCCGCTGTGGAACAGGAACGTTTGCGACGTATGCCCGGAGGCAAGCGTAGGTGAACGATCAAAGTAAACTGTTCTAACTTAATGATATTAAATATTTTCCTATACTTGCAGAGGATGTGGAGGAGGCTGATGTGTCGGAAGCAGAAACAGTGAAAGCTTAAAGCACGGATTATTTATTATTTAATGTTAGTCGGTTAAGTTATTAAAGCACACATATAACGAACGTCGTTTAATTTGAAAATCCACCGGCGTTGTTAACACTACAATTTATCGATAGTTTGTGGTGGTCGGTCAAACATCTATGAAGTGCATACCAATTTTGATTAAACTAAACACACTGCAGTCATCGATAAGAGCATTGGAAGCTAAGCTATATATTTGCTTTAAAATTGATAAATAACGTAAGAGAAGTTTGTGTTGCATATTATAAAGTAAGTTAAATTATAATTAATGCATTAACCATGCGAAGAAGTGCCTAATTCAATAAAAATAGTTTGAAGTTCGCGGGTAGTATAACCAACTTCCATGTTGCACGCTGCTATTTGTGGCCTACGTGACTCAGAAACAGTTATCAATGGCGCAACAACAGCTGCTTCAAAAGTTCAGTGACCAATTCTGTAGTGCAACTGCAACCCCTGAGCACAGCAGCATTTAAATTTGAACTGTTAGAGAGACAACTACTATTAGCAAATAATCTAACGAGCTGTGTACAAGTGTGTGAACACGTGTGCGTCTATTAAATAATCAGCAATAATAAAAACAGAAAACAAAAGCAAAAACAAAAACAAAAAACCTGAAGAGAAGAAAAACAAAGTGAACGTCTAGGAAATCGTACAAAAAACCTTGGCGCGTTTGCCATTCGACAGTTGCAACTAAAATTAATTTACAAAGTGAAGGTGAGGCCCCATACCTGAGTCATCAAATACTTAATTGCTCCATTGTGTGACTCCAATGCAACGTCTTCATATTAAAAGAAAGAAACGACTAATTGTTTACAAAAAGATTTCGCATGTCTACAGTCACGTAGACCCAAATTTTTCGCACTTCTCAAAGCTCATTAGCTCTCAAATAAATAAAAATAAAGAAATAAATATATATATTTGTTTATCAGAGACCAAAGACAAGGTCAAGTTTGTTGTCATATTTGTTTGTATATCAGTTTTCCTTATAGTATCGAATATTTGTTTACGTTTGTGCATTACGATTACAGCTCCACTAATAAATCATCATGTTGGACATTGTCCAACCCGGCGATCACCTAAGCGAAGGCAGCAACAACAACAACAACAGCAGCGATGTTGTCGTCATTCGAGCGAGGCCTAAAAAGGTGTTTAAGCCCAAGGCGCGTATCAATCGCATACCACAGGAGTTGCTCAATGATCCCCAACTGCAGCAGGCCATTGACAGGCTGCCCTCCAACTACAACTTCGAGCTGCACAAAACAATCTGGCGCATACGTGAGACAAAGGCAAAGCGCGTGGCACTGCAGCTACCGGAAGGACTGCTGATGTATGCAATGGTCATCAGTGATATTGTCGAGCGTTTCACAACTGCTGACACTGTCATCATGGGCGATGTTACTTATGGCGCTTGCTGTGTGGATGACTATACAGCACAAGCTTTGGGCGCGGATCTGCTGGTGCACTACGGGCACAGCTGCTTAATACCTGTCGATCAAACCTGCGGCATCAAGGTTCTTTACATATTTGTGGATATAAAAATCGATCCGTTGCACTTCCTGGACTCCGTGAAAATGAACTTCAAGCCAGAGGTAGGCCAAATTGCTCTGGTGAGCACTATACAGTTTGTCACGACGCTGCAAGCAGCTGCAACAGAGCTAAAGGCAGCTGGTTACGATGTATTGGTGCCACAGGCAAAGCCCCTGAGTCCGGGCGAAATATTGGGCTGCACATCGCCACAGCTGCCGGAGACAACGCAAATGATTATCTACCTGGGTGACGGACGCTTCCACCTGGAATCCGCCATGATTGCCAACCCCCTGCTCAAGGTGAATAATTAAGCTATAAACTAAGCATCATAAATTTTATTAACTCTATTCCCTTGCAGGCGTACAAGTACGATCCATATGAGAAGAAGTTCACTGTAGAAGAATATGATCACAAGGCCATGCAGGGCCTGCGACACTCGGCTGTGCAGCGTGCCAAGCAAGCAAAACGCATTGCCATCATATTGGGCACACTGGGTCGACAGGGCAGCGGTCGTGTGCATCGATTTCTGGAGAAGCGCCTGCATGCCAAAGGCATTGCGACGACAACCATACTGCTGTCTGAGATCTTTCCACAAAAGCTGGCGTTATTCGCTGACATCGATGCCTTCGTACAAATTGCCTGTCCGCGTCTGTCCATTGATTGGGGATCGGCTTTTGAGCAACCATTGCTGAATCCTTATGAACTATCTGTGGTGTTGGGCGATATCGAGTGGACGCCAGATAACGCATCGCCACGCACCAATGCCTATCCCATGGACTTCTATGCCAGCGGCAGCCTAGGCCCGTGGACGCCAAACTTTAAGCCACCAGCGCTCGGTGAATGCGAGAACCGTCCCTCGGCCGACTGTTGTGGCCGGTGCACACGCGCCGAACTTGAGAAGGATGATACCGGCAAGGCGGCAGCATTGGCAGATTTGCTCGACTTCAAGAAGGGCTAAACCATTCGGCCTAGAGGAATCCTCATTCTCACTTCTCTCAAGCGTGACTCACCTCTAAGTAACTAAGTGATTTTAGTTTATGTGCCCGCCCAGCCCAAGTGTAATATACCTACTAATTTAAGTTAGTGCAAATTTCATTTCTAAGTTATACGGCGATGTATATATGTATATAATTAAAATATATATATGTATATATTAGCTAAACTTTTGTGTTCAATCAAACTCCATTTGATATCAATATCAGCATTCATTAAATATTCTAGTTTTAGTTGCATTTTCAGAAACAAATATCATTTTACTATTAAAGAAATGTTTATTACGCAAACTAAATTTGAATTGAATTATTATTATTATCAGCTGAAACTGTACAATCTAATTAATATAAAAGTACTTATGTGTGCCTTCTGCTGGACCTTTATACTTGCTTTACAGCAACGCAATAGCACCAAAGCTTTGTATTTAACGTATTTGTTTTCTTATTATCAGCTCAAACCATTTCAGAATTTCTGATCTTTTGTCTTGGTTAGATTTTTTGCCTTGGTATAGGTAAACAGAATTCACTTTGTGTTTTGTGTGATTCACTTTGTAGCTTTGGAAAACTTCATTGAAGTTGCCTCAGTTTATGATTAAACAGCAAAACAATCTAAAATGCCTTGGCAAGTTCAATTGCATTTGTCATACATATATAAAATAAAGTAAATATATATATAAATCAAAGAGAGAGTGCATGAAAAAGATCTTAGTACATATTCTGAATACCTTAGAAGGTATATTGCTTATAGAGAGTACACCGCTGATACTGACTGCTTGTGAGAAATAAAGATAGCGAAATTGGGGCCAGTGAACTGGAAAGTAGATTAAACAAACGGTTAATTAAATAATATTGTTATCTGTGCTGAAAATTTAATAACAAATATTAGTACTACTTAATTAAACTACATTTTATAGGCATATTGTGCTTACATTAAAGATCATAAACTTGATTCTTTCTAATGCAATTGAAATGGATGGCTATGAATATATGTACGTGTATATATAAGTTCTTAATCGGAGGAAATACTTTATACTAATATATATTATATCATTAGATTGTGGAAACAGTAAAAGCAGGAGAAAGACTTATAATAAAATATCATCATCTTTATAATCAACACGCTCTAACATAACTAACCTAATCATTATTAAAATTATAAGACAAATACAATTATTATTAAACTAATAAATATAGCAATGATTATCAAGAAGGGTAACATTTTCAAATATTTACAAAACAAATACAACATAAGAACTGCCAAACAATCAATCGACAAATCGTTGATGCGACTAACACAAATGTGCAGTTGACTCGCCTTTTAATAGACGCAGTTGCACTCAAAAATTATCTCAGCTCTTGAGTCTTTTTTGAGTTGTTTCGCGCTCGCACACAAAGTGCATTGAGTTTATCTATTGAGTAAAAGGAACATGTAGATGAGGACCATGAGATGAAACGAACTGACCTGCTATGCACAAAATGAAACAGTTATATGGTATATGAGTGTTCAGCAGAAGGCTCAGAGCACAAAAATAGATTGGGCTCAATTTTCTCAATTTGGAAGTACTTCGAAAATGAGTTGATTATTAGTTATACAGGGTGCAATTTTACTTCAGTTCAATTGAAAACCTGTCGATATTGATTTTTTTTTATAGAAATAATAAATTATTCAAAGTTTTTCAAATGAAACAACATATTTTGGTTTCATAAATATTTAAGATTTTATTTCTTTTTTTTTTAACATAAAAATGTTCGTACAAATACGATCACGCATAGTACATGCAGTTAAAAGCTGGATATTGTGCAGGGTGATCTGCACATAAGTATGTTTTGTTTCTTTTGTTTGTTCTTTTGTTTTCTGGTCTTTCAATCAGATCTTAACTTTATACATAGATTGGATGGGAGCAGACTGGTCTGATCCGGAAAAAGCCTTTAAGCATTAATCTTGAATTGTCTACAGTTAAAAAAAAACACGCTCGTAATATTTAAGTTGAGAGTGTTCTTTGCTTTGGATTTGGAAAATATGTTTTCGTAGTTTACCTCGCTTAACATTAAGACAATCTTACACTTATATATCTGTATATATATATTGTATCCTGACTGGCGGCATTTGATTAAATTAGACTTGGATATACATGGGATATACATGATATATATCCGCATATATATGTACATATATATTATATTTGTTTGATTCCGATTTAGATAGTACATACATACATTTATATATCATTTTGTATTTTAGTTTTCTTTATTATTTTTAGGTAGGTGTATTCGTTTCTAGCTTTGCTTCCTGCAACATCACATGATTTCTATTTTTGCTTTTGTCTTTGTTTTGTAACTTTTAAAAGGGATTCAATATATCGTAAATAGAGTTTTGATTTCGTAACACTTTCGGGCTAGGTTAACTGGGATAACTTGACAAACTTATCAGCGAATGTAGCACCAAAAACAGCTGACAATAAAAATAAACTACACTTAAACGCTAAAAAGATCGTTTAAAAGTCATATACACAAAACTGTGCCTAATAATCCTCACGTCCAACATTTTGTTGTTCCACATTCAGTTTTCTCTCAAAAAATTGTCGACCGACAGAAAAGTTTTATTTATTACATAGTTTTCGCACTTTTGTGGCAGTTCGTTTTGCATTACTGAAATACATTTTGGGACTGTTGCTCGGGATCACAACCTATGTGATGCTCTCTCTCTCTCTCTCTCTCTCTCTTTCTTGCTTCCTGTTTACACTTTAAAACAAAAGTTCGACCAAAGTCCAACGAATGCTCAAACGTTATATTTGAAATGAAGGCTTTGGGATAGTTTAGTTAAAATCAACCTCAGCTACGTGGAGCTTTTTGAAAACAATACTTATAGCATGTACGTATGCGTTGCAGATTCAGCTCAGAGCTCAGCCTAGAAGTGAGCTTCTAAAATCGTAAATAAAATATAATTATGTAGTGTTAAGACTTTATCACTTAGCTTTCTCTCTCCCTCTCGCTTCCCTCCCACTCTCCCTCCCGCTATCTCTCTCTCTCTCTCTCTCTCTGTCTTTCTCACTCTTTAAAAAACTTTAACACACACACATAAAATGGTCTCTCATACTTGGCAGGCTTTCACCAGCTTAAGCATTGGCTGGAGCACCCTGTATCTCTCTCTGGCTTTAAAAATATGAATATATATCTTTACTCTCTCCTCTCTCTCGCTGTCTCTCTTTCTAGCTCTCTACTGTCGCTACTCCTGTGGCTTGGTCAATGTTTGTCTTTGCCACACGAGCTTACAACGAAAAGTACTTCAAGAACTGTGCCGGTGGCACAGGCAAAGCGAGAGCCAGTTGCCCGCCCGCCTCCTCGACGCGCTGCTTGTAGTCGGGACTCTGGTCAATGATGCACGGATGACCATCGGAGGGCCAGAAGAGACAGCAGCAGGAACGGCAGAGTGCCAGCACCTCGGCGAACTGGTAGTCATCGTTCACACCATAGGTGCGTCGCAGCTGATGATAGATCTGTTTCCAGTCTTTGGTCTCGCCCATCTGCTTGATCTTGTCCAGGTCCAGTATGGTGCTGATCTGTCGCTGATTGAAATGGAAGCGTGTCAGCTCACGCCAGATGCGCTGCTCCGACACCAGCTTGGCCATGGTCTCCCAGGCCTCGGCGGCCGACTCCAAGTCTCGATGATCGGCAATGCACAAGATAATCTCTCGCACGCACTCTTCCGGCAGCTCGTGCAGCTTGGGTCGTGCCTGTGGATCGGGCTCACGAATCTCGATTTGACTGGCCACGCGCTGAATGCGCTTAATCCTGGCCATGTGCTCCTGCCACAGATAGGTGCTGCCCAGTGGCTTGCCCCAGCACTTCTGGTTCTCCTGGTTGACGATGTGCTCCAGCTTCAGCGCCAATCCACGCAGCACATTCGGATGCTGCTGGCTGTCATTGACTGCAAGCAGAAACCGGTTTTCGATTCCAGTTTAGTCTCGCTTAGATGACCTACAACCGGCTAGTTACTCACCATGTGAGGCCACCTCCTCGACCATTTGGAGCAGCTGGCGCTGTGCGCTGCCCGGCAGGCTGGCAATGCCCTTGTTGGAGACAAGCAGCAGGAACGCACAGATATAGTGGAAGCGCTTGCGATCCCGCACCGAGCGACGGAAATCGAGACGCTTCACGGCCTCGCTTAAACCATTAAAGCCAGCAATCTCACGGGTGCAGCGTATCGTGATGTGATAATGCGGCGGCATGCAGCCCGCTTCCTGTTCCTCCCTCTTGCTGCTGCTCGCCGCCTCCGGGCAGCTACCCTCCGAGCTGTGCCTGCAATGGAAGCAACATAAAAAGCAGTTAGAGCCACTCAAAGACAACATTCGGAAGTGATTGCAATCGCTAAGTCTGTCTCCTTGTCTATCTCTCTTTCTCTCTCTCTCTCTCCCTCTCTATCTGTCTATATGTCTGTCTCTTTGTCTTAACAGTCGTTTGAGCGCTTGGCAAATATTTTTGGGTTTTTAGTTTTGGTGTTTTTGACGTGTTATTTGCTTTATTTTAAACGTTTGTTAACTGCTTTTTGAAGAGGCGGAAGTTGCCAAGTCGTTGCTGCTGCTGCGTCAGCTGTTGCATATTACATGTTGCACGTGGCACCTGAGACCCGTTTATTAAATAAAGCACTTCGCCTGCTGGGGCCAGCAACTGATTCGCCAGTGTCAAGTTTTTCGCTTTGCGCAATTATTCGAAGTTAACTCAAAGCAATTGCAGTTTGCAAAATCTCAATTATGTGTCGTGTTTTCCACTGAGGAAATTGTTTAAGTGTTTCCCATAGCTCAATCACTTGTGAAGTATTCTTCACAGAGTTTTTGAAGTTAAGAAATTTATGCCAAATATTATCTATTTGAGCAGTAAATGCTATATGAAGAGAATAGTCTCGACAGCTTTGATAATTTTATATAAAATATTGTTGATTATTTCATTCATTTAAATGTTTTATTATTGATAAACATTATAAAATTTAAATAAACTTTTGAAGTTTAAGAAAACAGTTTCTTGAATATAAGAAAATTATATTTTTATTTTTTTTTTTTTTTATATTCGATCGGATGAAAAATTTTGAATACAAAAAAAAAGTAAAAGATGAATAGACTCGTTAAAAGCATTATCTCTCAGTGTATTGCTTAACTCTTTTGTAGGTTCAAAAAAAAAAAAAATAAATAAATAAAATGTTTTCAAATTTTTTTTTATTTCCGATAAACAAAAATTATTTTATTACAGGGAAATTTTCCTTTCATCCCTGTCCCCTTGCTCCTTTCATAACATTAGCTATAGAGCTGTAGCCCTCATGGACATTAGGCCAATCCTTTTTGGCTATAGCTAACTAGGCCTGGGCCGACTTCATTTCAATCAGATCGATGCGCCTTGACCATATTTAGAATGCGGCTGTTCCCTTTGCTGGGCAAACGCTGCCAACGAGGACATGACATGTCCTTGGGCGAATGCATTTCAATTATGGACCAAACTGGGTCAGTCTCTCTACGTGTGTGTGTGTGTGTGTGTGTGGGTGGGTGGGTGAGTGAGTGAGTGTGTCTGGTTGGGTGCATATGGGAAAGGTCCTCTCTGTATCTGTCATCCACGATTGGCAAACTAATTGCAATTTCGTGTTTCAAGTAAATTTCCTGCAGAATTTAAAGCGAATTTAACACCCTTTGAGGTCGTCAGCTACAGAAAAACTTTTTATTTTTTAATTTATAAATCTAACTTGAGAGAGAGGGAAAGAGACATAGAGAGTGTCTAACTGTAAAGCTTTGTGTTCGCAGCTCTAAAATCTGTCAGGCAGATACTTCTATTCGATTTGTCAACTAAATTAACTTATGTCACGCTGGAATATTTAGCAATTCCCAATTTGCTGCATGCCTAGTTAGTGGATATTTTTAATATTGTTATTTTTTTGTTTTCAACTCCATACGTCCAGTGCAACTCTTTCTTTGAATGGCGGATAGTAAAAAACTGATGAACTCTGTACGGGATTATTCGTAACGGGATTATTTCGTAAACCTATTCCTTACAATCTATGCTATCGAAAAAGGTAACTTTACATCTGGCTTATGCTTTAAGATGTGCAGCAGATATTTGAGGACTTATCCAGTAAATCGTAACACTTTATGAGATGAGGCCACACTTGAGCAATTGTATTTCAAAAATGTATTATATATTATGCACACAACCAATATACTCTCTTTCCACATCTTGAACCGTTAAACGATTTAATTTTAGACTATGATTTTATTTCTGCAGCAAATTTTGTGAATTAAACTAAATATTTTCATGGCCATTGCACAGGTAGCAAAAGTGCACAGTCAGCTTCCATTAAAAAATAATAACAGAAGAAATTGTTATTGTTATTGTTGATGCTCAGCGAGCAGGCCAAAGCTTTAGACTCGGAGCTGCCAGCAATTGTTGCAGCTGCTCTGCTGGCTCTGGCTAGCGGAGCATGGATGCAGAGATGATGAGCGAGAGGCGGAGAAAGACAGAGAGAGAGTTGGGGGGCGACGACCACGTGATTCATATAAATCAGTCAACGACGCTATAGCCATCGCCATCAAGCGTTCGTTTACCTTTGTTTTAGGCAAATTAAACAAATGCAACGAATGCTGCTGAGATCAGGGCCCAACTGCAATTCGCTTGTCTATTTTTAAGTGTGCGACCTTTTTAGACATTAATTATTGAGGCTGGGCCGCAAGGAGAGCAGGGAGGTTGGGAGCGAGAGCGAAGTGAACTGAACTGAACTGAAGTGAAGCCGTGTCGAGTTCTAGTCTAATTTTAGACGAAGTTGGGAGCTATCACATGTCGCTGTCGCTCCCAAGCAGCAGCTATAAATAAGCCAATGCCGGAGCCAAAAGTTGGCCGTCTATATAAAAGAAAAGCTCCAACTGTAAACTGTGTAGAATTTCAACATCAAAGCTTTATTAGTTTCGGATCACGGACCCACGATATGTTAATGCAAGCTAATTGTAACGAAAGAGAGAGAGAGAGAGAAATATACAATAAAAGTGGGCGCCATAGCAAAATGATAAGTGTGCACATTACACTAAACAACAAAATAGAGAAAGGTACAAGTCGTCGAACTACATTAAACAAAACTGTTGCAACTCGAACTATTAATAGGCGATTTTTTGTTAGTTTAAGCATTAGAGAATTCGGATAAAGATTTTTGAGTTCAAAAACTAAAAAGGAAATACAAAAATTAAACTTAAGTTATAGATGAGAAATTTGAATACACTTTTAATATAATGGAAACATTGATCATTTAATGCTAGAGCAATTCCATTTTTGAGGTTAAGAGTGAAAATATTGTGTTTAGAATTTAGAGTTTTTAGACAGGAATTAATTCATTCAGGCTGAGAGATGTTTTTCTGTAGGTTCCTTATTAAAAACTGAAGTTAGCAAAATGTGGGAACCTCGAATTTCTTGACTTTCCGATGGTGCCGCTTGGCTTTAAGTCAAGACTAATTTGAAGTTAGTAATACGTCGTATAGAAATACAAAATCATAACTATAGATAAATATATTTAACAAGCGCTGTGTTGTGAATTTTGATATGTTCCATAATAAATAAACAAAAACTACTAAATCTTATAAAAACAGACTTCTAATAGCAGTAAAATTCTTATATAGATCTTAATGTATGTGTGTAATAATATTACTGAAATATATTTTATTATTAATATTAATTTATAAATTTTTATTGTCTTCTGAAAGTTTTCCTTCTATAATTGTTAATTATAAAGCCCATCGATTACTAAACTTGTGGACTTTAATGAATATGTAAAGCATTGCCCTGCTGTCTAGTGTACAAATGAAATTGAACGCATTTTCTTTGGCTTTTGAAAGTGCACAAGAAGAAGAAGAAAAGGAAAAATAAATGCAGCAACGAATCAATTCAAAAGGCCAACAAATGTTCAATGGAGAGTGCGAGTGCAAGTGAAAGTGGGTCCAAGTCGACATCTACATCCACGTCCGCATCCACGTCCATGTCCACGTCCACGTCCACGTCCACGTCCAACTCCTAATCCATATCCGCGTATGCAACTACTCCGATTAAATTCGAGGCTTTATGTAATTTAAAGTTTGGCATTTGGAATTTTTAATTATTAATTTAGTGCATTGCGAGTGCTGGCGCAACACAGTAGCAATTCCACTTTAATTGATCCAAAAAATATGGGAAAAATAGAGAAACGAAAAATAATAAAATATTCGTGAAGGTAGCATAAGAGAGTTATGAAACATTCCACTTAGATATCGAACACATTTCCTACTTACTTCACTTTTCAGATTTTTATTTAAAGTTAATTAATTTCCATTTAGCTGCTCTGTTTGAAGAACCCTTCACTAAAAGCCATTTGAGATAATCGTAGGATAATAAGTTCGGCCTGCTTGAGATTTCGTGTTGGCGCCCTACTTAAAATCGATTTGAGGTGGAAGTTTGAGCTCATAAAATGGACAGGAACCTTGAGCTGACGCACACACACACACATTCACTCACTTACACATACCAGCTCACACTTTCGACTAAACTTGACCGAGTTACACGCCATCCCAAAGGGCGAACTGTGTGTTCGAGCGTTGAATTAAAGTTTCCAAGGCTTTGCCTAGTTAAGTTTTTACATAAAACCCAAAAAGGTCCTTCAGAAAAAGCCAATTTAAAAATGAGAACCAAATCTAAATGTAAATTTGAGTGTGCGTACTTATTTGTATGTATAAATGCCTGTAAGGAATATGTATCTTCTAACTTCCAGCAATCCAATTTTGGACTTCTTTTTAAATTTTGTTATAAATACTTATTTATGCGCTTTGCTTCCGCATACACATATACATACATATATATAAATATATATATATATATATATATATATGTGTGTGTGTATTTATGTATATGCATATGTATTTATATTTTCTACCTTATAAGAACGTCGTCTGCCGAGAGCCTGACAAATGCCAAAAATAGTTTTTTGAAGAATGTTCTTTATGACATGTCAAAATAATCACTTTAAACAGAATTCTTTTTCCCCGTGTGCATCTGCATTTTACGGTGTTCTGCTTTATGTAAAACTTTGTGAAGCTTTCAAGTGAGTCGAACGCGCGCGTTCCAGCTAGCCACGTTTTGCTTCGTCACTTTTTTGTGGTAGCCCTCTACTGAGATTTTAACCAAACTGCTGCAGAGGCGCAATCACTAATATACATAAGCGAGAGTAGTCTGAAAAGTTACAGCGTTAAACCAAAATATATACATTTAAATAATGTCCTATTATCTAAATTTTTAACATTTAGCTTATGCTTAAGTTCGTAAATTTTATATACTACCCCCGTATATTTATATGCAAGTCTGAATATCCAATTTAATAATACGTATTTATATATGTATAATTTCGAACTTCTTTTATTCCACGTTAAAGCCCGAAAACTTCTTATACTACCCACGTGTATTTGTCTTACTGTATTTGATGCCCTGATTTTATACTTAATCATTCACCATCAACGTTTTCATAGCATCTATTATGTTTGTTTACTAACTGGCCCAGCGTTGCCAGATTTCTATTTACAGCCTTGCCATTGGTTTTTGCCTATGTTGCGATTTCATTGCAAATCAAATTGTCATCAATCAAATGGGCACGCAACAAGCAGTAATAGTAGCGCAGCTCTCCCTTTTCGCCTGCCGCTGCTGGCACTTTCACACTCGTTTGCCGTGAGTCAATCTAGTGATTGCACTCCAATTGAGATATCGATATATGTGTCTATTTATGTAAACTTCTTCAGTGCACACACACACATACAGACACACATACACACACATTCATACATATGTATATTCTGATTTATAAAAACTTCAACTCTTCATTGAAATTGTTCAATGATTTTTGTATGTGGCCAGTCAAATTCATTCATGGGCACAATAATACGGCTTCGACATTCGTCAGCTCATTATTTGTATTTTTCTTGTTTGCTTTTATGTTGTTTTGTGTAGTCAACACTAAATCTGTATTTTTCTTATAACTTTTAGAGAAGGTAAACGCTATTGTGTTTCAACAAGCCACAAAAAAAACAATTATTTCTAGGTTTGCATCACACAAAAAGTCGTATATTGTGTAAATAAATTTATGTTCATTTAAGACTGAACATATGTTCTAATTATACTAATCACCTAAAGTAACTATAAACTGATAAGAACTTTTGTAGGTCGTCAAAAAGCCTTGGCTGCAATTTTCTAAGCCAACATCAGTTCCGGTGGCCTTGGCCTTTAATCCGTCAAATAGTTGCCACATTATCCTATCTATAATTTGGGTTTTGAAAATTGCGTTGTCCAGATGTGGCAGGAAAACATTGTTAGCTTATGTATGTATGTGTGTAGGCTGTGAATGTGACCTAAATGGAGTGAACGAGCTCAAACTTTCAAGTTAACATATTCCATTGTCTTGTGCGTCGATTGCATTGTGCATGCATACGCAATACAAATCGATTGTCATAAAAGAGGTTTGTCATCGATCTATTGATTGCTAATCAGAGGCACTTATTGTCCATCGAAGATGAAAAATACAAAGTAAAAAAACTTACCTCTTGCGTTTGCCGCCACACTCGAGCACCTTCTTGCGTTCCCAGCCCTCGTCTGTCTTGACCCAGGCTTCGCCAGGTGAACGAAAATCTTTCGAAATGAACGCCATGTGTGTTTTTTTTGTTTTCTGTTTTTTGTTTTACTTATTACGGTCTATTACGTATTATGAGTTTATTTTAATTACTATTAAGTTTATATATTTTGTTTTCGCTTATTATATTATTTTTTGTTTTATAATTTTTATGCGGACGGCGGCTTGAATAATGCGGTTTATATATGTTAATATGCGTTTTTATTAAGTTCGGCTAGCAAGTTGTCTGTTGTTAGCTGTAAAAGTAAAAAGAAAATTGTGAAATTTCAAAATTGTATTCAGCAGTGCAACAAAAATTTGTTGCGCATTTCCCGAGTTGTGCAGAAATGAGTCCAACAAGTCGACTTATCTATACTCTCTACCCAGTCGATAATGACTTATCAGAATCTCACTCAGCCAAACACATATGGAAATGATTAAATGAAAGACGAAAAAACGGACTCATTTTGTACTAAATTTCTCACTTTAATGTGCTTGTTAAATTGTTCTTCTCCAATTTGTGATGAAATTCGTAGCGAGAGTGTATCAAAATGCTGACAAGGTTGATTGTGCTGCAGAATCAAAACAAAAGAAAAACGAACCATATAAAGGCAAATTGTCAGAGCCAGAGAATACGAGAATACGCAACAACAGCAAACGAGAACGATAGAGAGCTACAAGATAAAGAGCGAGAGAGTAAGCACTCAACCAGCTGTTAGTTGTCTGACTTGTAGGATGAGAGGAACAAGCAGGAGCAGAGAATGTAACTGTTTGGCGCTCAATTGGAGCACGAATCGTGTTTTGTTTTGTTGCCTTTGCTCATGTGTCGTTGGCTGGCTTTCATTGTGTGCGTGTGTACGAACGTGGAGCTGTAGGTACACAGCTGATTTCTGCAATTACGCGTTTGTTTTGCTTTTGTTGTTGCTGTTGTTATATTATTTTTGTAATACATTTTTTCCAGCTTGGTTTAAAGCACGCAACCAAATTTTTGTGTTGGCATTTGAATTGGGATTTGCTTTCATTTCCTCAATTGAGTAATTTTTCATTATTCACACACATTAGGCACAATACATATGGCTTCAGTATATATACATACATATTGATGTATTTTAATGTGATTGCTCATAGAAAAACGCAGTATTTTAATTTTTCCTTACAAACTATTTTTTACGCACTTTATTTTGTCAACTGGTTGGTCTCGGATTTGGGCTTAATTTCCACTCTGCTATAGCTTAGCAGTGGCAGTAGTTCAGCTACCAATTTTGAAACAATTTATAAATTTATAGCAATCGACGGAACACAGAGTACAATGCTAGCGAACAGCTCCACAAACTCCACGAACTGTTTCACACAGCTTTTCACGTTGCACTCGAGCCCCCAATCAGAAGACACTATGTTGCTTACATTGTGCAATTGTTGCTAAGCATTGTGTTAGCAACATCGATACGAGCTATCGATTACGTCGATTTTTTATATGGAGTATGCGATAAGTATTTATCAATGCTTTCGCACACCACTAATTCATGTGAGTTTCATAATTTTTGCCGAAAAATTGTAATCTAAATAGAAAAGTCCCTGTCAGGCAAAGTAATAAACAATTAAACCCGATTTGAGCAATAATGTCGGCATCGGAACAAGGACCCAAAATCAAGTACGGAGAAACCGCACCCAAACTAGACAGAGCACAACTGCAGTTCATGAAACTCATCGAGGAGCAGAACTTGGATCGTGTCCAGAAATTAAAACGTGTGCGACGCAATAATTTGCTAACAGCCGGAGCGCTTGGCTTTTCAGTGCTAGCTATTTACGGGTACTCCATATTCTCGGTGCAGCAAGAGAAGTTCCTCGACGACTTCGAGGAGCCCAAGAAAGTGAACACCAACTAAATTCGATCCGCACTTGTTACTTCTTATCACGTAGTTAGTTTTTAAGCTCTTGTTTTTCATTCAATTTTACACTATCCTAAAATCGTTGCGTAACTAATATCACTGTAAGTACTTTATTATCTTAAGCGATTGCTTGGGCTCATTTCTGTTCTGTTTGCAGATGTCTCAAGCCTCAGCGCGCATCCTCAGCAGTGGCATGCGCTTGCCACCGCTGCCCACCATCCGAGATTTGGTGAAGCTATACAAGCTGCAGGCCATGAAGCAGCTCAGTCAGAACTTTCTCATGGACGAGCGACTGACGGACAAGATTGTTAAGTCTGCCGGTCGCATAGATCAAAATGACATTGTATTGGAAGTTGGTCCGGGGCCCGGCGGCATAACGCGTTCTATTCTGCGTCGCCAGCCACAGCGTCTGCTGCTTGTCGAAAAGGATGCTCGTTTTACCGAAACCCTGCAGCTGCTGCGCGAATGCGCACGCCCATTGGATATGGAAGTGGAGATCTATCACGAGGACATTCTGCGCTTTAACATCGAACGGCATGTGCCAGACACCACGCAGCGCTTGCATCTTATAGGAAATTTGCCATTTGCCATCTCCACACGCCTGCTCATCAACTGGTATGAGGATTTGTCTGAGAGACGCGGTGCATTTAGAAGAAATGACACCTGCATGACGCTCACCTTCCAGAAGGAGGTGGCCGAACGTATGTGCGCTCAAGTGGGCAGCGAACAACGCTGCCGTCTCTCGATTATGTCACAAATTTGGACGGAACCAGTGCTCAAGTTCATAATACCAGGCAAAGCGTTTGTACCCAAGCCACAGGTGGACGTTGGTGTCGTTAAAGTTATTCCTCTAAAGAGACCCAAGACGGAGCTGCCATTTCCCCTCGTGGAACGTGTCATGCGTCACATCTTCAGCATGCGTCAGAAATATTGTCGTCGTGGCTACAGCACGCTGCTGCCTCCGGAAGGCCGAGAGGAGACAACACAAGTGCTGTTCCAGCGGGCCGATGTCCAAGATACGTTGCGACCCTTCGAGTTGTCTGTGGCCGAATGCCTGCGACTGGCTGACGCCTACGCGGAGCATCTGGTCGCACATCCTGAGGTGGCAAACTACGATTATCGGGCACCCAAGCAGCCACTGAGTTAACTGAACGACTTCATAGACTTTACTTATGTGTATATTGTAAAAATTGTATTGCATAAGTAGATCGGTAAATAGAGACTACGTAAAAATTGTAAGCATTGTACAAAAAGTTTTAGTGGACGGAATGTTGTGGCTAAACGAGATTCGAGCTTAAAATTGAACTGTCGTTATGATGCTAAGGCACTTAGGTACTTTGTTTAGTACTATTCAGTGGAAGTGGAATGTGCCGACGAGCAGCATCAGGAGAGCAGCTGCGCCTGCCATTGCTGAAGTCTGCAAGCTGCCAGCGCCATTGCAGCGATGGTCGAGGAAGCAGAAGCAGAACGTTGTGTCCGTGAAGAAGTCGCGCTTCACGTCGTGCTCCTTAATCGTGTGATTGACGTAGTGGGCCAGGCGCACATCCTTGGCGGCCGGGCGACAGCCCTCGTACTTATCAGCGGGAATGTCGGTGCGAAAGTTGAGAGCGCTAAGACAATCTCTAGTTATTGTTTCCTTAGCTCCGCGACGCTCCGTCACCTTAACGCAGATGTCGTTGCTCTCCGGACACTGCTCGCCCAGAAAACCGATGCCGCGCCAGTTGAAATTGTCGGCACAGCCGGGCGTTGCAGAGGTGCAGCGATAACACCAAATGGCGGCACCTGTTAACGAATCATCAATTAGTGGATGTATCTATTATAGATTCACACTTCGAAAATGTTTACGAAGTGTTTGTTCTTCTTCTTCTACTGCTCAGCTTGATGGATATTTGTGTGACTTACCTTCATGTATAAATGCTGCTGTTAGCAGCAACACAGTAAGCGAGGCTTGTGCTTGCATTGCTTATTAATAACTTAACGAAATGTTTTAATAGAATAGTAATAAATAACAAACAATTACACTTTTACGAAGAAAACAACGCCCAAACTAAGTTAACGATGACATGTGTCTAACTAATCGACTGCTGTGTTATCGCCAGCCACCACCACTTCTTGTGCATAACCGTTTCATATTTAGTGTTGGCAAACGTGTGCATATATTGGGCGCCAATTTTCAAAACTTGATATTTGTGAAAGTCAACCCCACCTAGTTTAAAGTAGACAAAAATGGCATTATCAGCGTGCGTGCTGCCTGTTGACATGTTTCGCTAGTCATTTTAGACTCTGACTCACACATCTCTGCTTGTCTAATGAACTGTCTATTCGCTTAGCTTACAAAGCATTTCCGAAAGACATATATATTTTGTGTTTCCTGCCAAAAGTCATGTGTATTTTTAGCTCTGCAAATGATGTATGCAAATCAGGTACCGCAAGGGGGTCCAATAAACTTTTGCTCGTATTTGGTGATCGCTTTTGGAGTAATTTTTTTATGGTGGAATGTGCGATGTTTGCCAAATGAAAAAGCCAAGATGAATCAGCCGGCAAAATCGAGGCGGCGTCGGCACTGCTAATTGAACGAACGGTTTCGACTGGTGCGTCTGCGGCTGCTGCTGCTGCGGTCTGTTGACAAAGTCCAAAAAAGCGAAGCACGACGCGTAAGACCAGTGAACGATGTTCAAATATGGAAATGACGAAATGCTCTCGAAGTACAATGGGCAGAGATCACATAACATTGAGCGGACAACCAGATATGGACCGATTTCAAATAAACAACAGCTTTTAAATATTTATGTTATTGTTTTTCTTTATATTTTATATATAGATATTACGAACTAAACAATTTATACAGCTATTCACATTTGCAAATATCGCATACAAAAGTTTTTGATGAGGTCAAAAACAAGAGAGTAAAATATTAATTATAGTATAATTTATGTTGTTGTTCACACATGAAACATGAGTAGAGTAGAGATACAAATCAGACACAGATGTATGTACAATTAGAATAATAAATAAATTACGGCTGCTTAATGGGAACATTCACTCGACACAAACAAACAAACAAACAAACTGACTTATGAACTAGCCCACTCATACACACAGTCGGAATAACTAGAGAACTACGAATACATTTTATGTAAAATCACGTTTTAGGTACAGGCCCGCTCCCTGCTTTCTCCCCTTGCCCGTTGTTGAGAGTTGCGCTCCACTGCTGTGTGGGGCACTTAAACGGAGACGACGAATTCCTTGCCGGTCTTGAAGTCGACGCACTTGAACTGCGGACAGCATTTGGGGAAGCTCCAGTTGAGGTCGCTGGGCAGCTCCTCGCAGCCGGGCATCTCGATGTAGGGACAGGTCTCGATATTGATCTGACGCGCCTCAATGTCGCACGTCATGGCGGCGCAGATGCCCTTCGGCTTGTACTCCTTGTCGGGCAGCATCGAGCGTCTGGTCAGCTTGTCGTAGCATTTGCCGGGGTGAGCTGTAAGTGCCAGAAGAATGAGAATCGGTTAAAGCGGAAGTTGTTGCTGTAAGTCGTGCTTTATTACAAGGAAGACAGCTATAGCTATGCAAAAACTATCTACATACATATACATACACATATATATGTATGTGTGTATGGCTATTAATATCTATGAGCCACATATGTGCATGAGAATTTGCTTTCAAATTTATTTTCGGCACAGCAAAATCAAAAGACTTAAGCAACGAACTTGCCAGTCACGAGCTCAGCTCTCTCGGTACTTGCGAACAATTGACAGCCTCGCTTTTATTATTTATAACAATTGGCCGTTGGCTACAGCCGACTTTGATTAATGATGCTTCACGTCCATTGGCCATTTTGGGTCGCGATCTCAAAGAGTTTCGCAGATTCGTTTTGAATTATTTTCTTTTTTTTTCCCACTCGATGTGCTGGATTTGCGAGTATAAAAGAAATTCGCTGTGAACTCATCGCCTATTTTTATATATCTAAACCGAAAACCCGGTCAGCAGTTGGACGACCTTCACCAAAAGTAAAAAAGAAGCGAAAAAGCAGACGAATAAATCGAGATAAAATATTTCATCAAGACATTTGGCGACATTTTTGTAACACAAATCCGCATAGCTATGCAAATTAGCGCCTCAGATTTGTTAATAAACCCTCAACAACAACAATAACAATTAAAAATCAGCACATTTCTTATGCTAATTTTTGGTAGATGCGAAAAAACCCAAAAAAAAAAAATAAACTGAAAAATTTGTAGCAAAAGAAAGAAGCACGACAAATAACAAATTTTGTAGCTGTTGTTGTTGTTGCTAATTTGGCGACTGTTTTGCGCTGTTTATTATGATATATCAGTTTTTTTTTTCACTTTTTATGTTTTGCTTTGCTTTTCTATTTTTTCTTCTTTTTAAATGTTGACGTCAACAAATACAAAAATAAATCGAAAAATTTGAGCAAAACAACAATAAAGAAAAAGCAAAACAAAATTTACAAAAATAATAATAAAAACGAAAAAGCAACAACAAATGAATAAATGTAAGTAAAAACATTTGACACGACTTCTAAACAGCTTCAATTAATGAAGTGAAAAGAGCTAAAAGCTCGCTGTAATACAACAAATTAAAACTTTGCTCAACCTGAACAATAAATCAATCTTTTATACAACCAACTGCTTTTAGCTTTATTCACTATTTTTATTGTTATTGTTGACAAAGGTCGTTTATGACAAAAAAAAATATAATAAAAATTTAATTAAAAACTTAATTATGCGCTTGCCAATGACGTATATATCAATTTCAATTTGCTAATTTTCAAAAATTGCAATTAAGATTTTTTTCTTATCGATTTTTCTTAATGAACAAAAAATGCTTTACTTGAATTTAGCCTGCCTTGAAGTGCTAAGCATAGGAGCTAGAGTTTAATTGGAGATTGGAGATTTGGAGAGAAATACTAACCAGGATGAAGCAAAGCGGGCTGCGTGTAGACAGCCGCTTCAGCAATGCAGACGAGACAGGCGATGAACGCGAATGCGACACAAACTTTTTCCGCGTACATATTGAGTTTGATATTTGTGCGTGTATATATTTAATAAATAATATATGGTTTTGTTTAGCTTGCAATTGATTGTACAATTGTTTATTTTTCCACTTGGTTTTGTTCACAATGCGCGTAAAGCTTTGCACTGGGCACTTGTCAGTGAGCAACTGAAGCTATAGCGGCCAGTGACGCTCATATTTAAGCGAATACGCTCTCACACACACACTCTCACGCTCGCTCTCACTCTTTTGTGCGGAGGGGGCTCGCAAAGCACATGTTTTCTTTTTGATTGCGTTGTTTGCTTGCTTCGCTTTTTTCTTTTAGTTTTTTCGCCTCACATTTTTGCGTCTTGGGTTATTCCGAGCCTAACGCGCACCATAAATCTCTGCAGTTTGCATATATACATGTATATCTATGCATGTGTGTGTGTACGTTACAAAGTATTCGCCTTGCCGGCGAAATGCTTTTTCTCCATTTGACTCGAACTGTCTCGGCCGCCATTCTTGTTTTTCTTCTATGGCTCGCCCACGCTTCTGAGCATCATGCTTTGATCTCCATTGTTTTGCATTATTTTTAGTTTGTATAATTAATTGTTCGATTGCTAGAAATGGCAACGGCTCGCCGGTGGTTTCATCTAAATCCGCCTGATCGTGGTAGGCGGACGAAGCAGCTTGGAGGCGTTTTGGAATGCTCGCAATCATTCGCGCAGTCTGCCGCTTTCCATTAATGGCAATCTGATCGAATCAGAAATGAGTTTCTTATTGTTTAATCATCGACAACAGTTTGATTTGATATGTTTATTATTGTTATATATGTGCACACATCTATATTCACGTGCACATGTATGCATAATGACGAAGCTGCATACATACACACATATAAATGTATACATACGCATATGAGTGTGTTTTAATTGGTCCTGACAGGGCTTGATGAACCCGCCTTGAAGCAGAAACATAGTCTTCCAGTGCTTATTATCCCATTCGACTGACGCCAAGTTGACGCCGTTTGCCGTCAGGAGGCGTACCGCTTAATGGAAACTAGTCGCCTGTTGTCTTCTGTTTTTTCCCTCTTTGCTGCATACCAGAGTTTAAATACCTATTATCTGTGTCCGGCATTGCCCGTCATTCTTAATATATACTCAGCAAAGGCAAGCAGCTTCTTATATCTTATACTACACGCCACACTTACATAACTTAAATTGGAGAATTATCATCCAATTGGATTGCAAAGCTATTCTATTCATTTAGCAGATGTAAACGAATTGGACAGCTGAGCATAGGTCGTAATCCTATTGGACTGTTCGACTTGAGAATTGTTTTTGATTATTTGTTTGGCATTTTTTTGATGCTTCATTCTGTTTTGTTGCTTGGGGCTTCTCACTTGTTTGTATCTCTGGGGCCCTGAATACCCGTTTAACCCGTTCCCAGCCCCGATACGCATGTCACACTTGCAACAAGCAACAACTACGACAGGCGATTCCAACAGCGACGACCGTGTGACGTCAATTTGTTGTGCTTGTGTTTGTTTGGTTGTGTTTGCCGTCGCCGTTGCCGTTGCCGTTGCCGTTGGTTTTTGACATTGCCTTGGCCCGGCAAATTCATTTTGGCGGCGCACGCTGGAATTTATTAATTATGACCGGACGACGGACGAGACGCTCGGGGCAACTGGGCGACCGACGACTATGCTAAAAATTCCACTCGGAGCAGCCGTTTTATAGCTGATTTATTGTTGATTCGTATTAATGTTATTGCTCATTTTTGGACTACGTGCTCGCTCTGCCAATCGGCCAATCTGCCAACCTGGCATTGTAACTAAAAGAAAACAAAAAACAGAACAAAACAAAAACAAATACGAAAAGCGATAAAAATACGAAATTAAATAAACACAAATCGATAAATATTTATAAAGTTTAGCTTTTTGTTTTGACGTGACGCATAATTAGCAACAAATTGTTTAATAAAACACAGTCTGCGCCGCATACAGTAGCAAGTTTTTAGGTGCTCTCCACAGCCTCTCCCCCACCCAATAGCATCGTGTTTACTAAACGATTTGTGAACAATTAATTACTGATTAATTTCATTGGACGTGCGCTGGGTACAATGAGAAACAAGCTATATATATATATACATATATACATATGCCCTACACTGATGAAATGTCTTTAAACAGAGTCTAGCCTCCATATGAGGTTGGGCCAATAAAAAAATATTTATAGTGTTTACATAAAAAAGAAATATATTAATAGGAATTCCTTAAAAATTAAATTGTAAAAGCATTGCAGTCTCAGGATAGTCATAGACATGTATATATTTATATATATATATATATATAGTCGGGAGAGGCGACATAGAGACAAGATAATGATGAAGGCTTAAATCCTTCAGCTCAATCATGTTGTCTTTCTGCGGTCGCATGGCCCTCTATTTATTTATAGTTAAAGTGTTAAAGTACTGTACAACTAGATTTCAACATTCTTATTAGATCTCTATATGGCACTGCAGTCTCACTGTAAATATCTTATTCTCAAATTGAAACAAATAAAAAAACAATGAAAGCTTAAAAGATCCGATTTACAGTTTTTACCTGGCTTTTGAATCGTTATTTATATATACATATATATTTTTTTTATTGGTTGGATGTATGGAGATCAACATTTTTATTTGGTATTCCCCAGAATTGTATCGGAGCCGAAAGATAGGGAAAGAAATTTCTTTAGTCATTTCGTTGCAGAGTTCATTAATAAACCTAGCTCCAATTTGCATATTTAACTTGTTGTTTAGCGAAAAATCCCGAGCTACGAAATCCGCATACAAAAATCATGCGAATAGAAGCTAAAAGTCTGGCGCCAAAGAAATTGACAATAATCCATCAAGTGATTTTGAGTGGTTTTGTTTATCAGTCGCCGTAGCCAACGTCGTCGCCGCCGCAGTTGCTAGCCCCGTTTGAGTCTCCATCTTCATCTCCGTCTCTATTGCTGTCTTAGTGTTAGGCTCCAGCCTCTGCCATGTGCTAATCGCTTGATGGAGCGTGAGGATTTTATTACACGTCGCCGACGTCGCTACTGTCCAGACCGGTCCACAGACGTATTATTGAATCTATTTCCCGGTCGAAATGTGAACGCAGCATATTTACTGCGATTTTTGTCTAATTATGCAGGAATTTTTGACGCGAGCTCCGTCTCGGAGTCGCCACGATAAATTCTGCGAATTTGGCATTTTTTGTTTTCGTTAATATTATTCTTATTTTCTGACATAGTAATATTATTAATTCATCTTTAGTTGGTGTATACATATCTATATAAGGTGTACATATATCTTGGGGCTATACAATCTAAGAAATCTTCTTATTTTCTAGATATGCAAGTTTAATTAGAATCTGAACTAGTTCTTGTGTCTAAACAATTCCATTAATGCAATTTCAGCTGCAAGTAATTGATTTTTGGAGATGCAACTTCCATTGCAACTTGAACTAGTTCTGGCGTCGTCTGTGTTATCGAACAGAATGTGAAGATTAAATCTAGTTCTTTCGTACCGAATTATGACTGAAAGCTTGACTAAAAATGTTTGAGATTTTAAATACAGTTGAAATCAAACACATAATTTTATTTCAGTTTTATCGTACGTGTTTTTTTCAAATTTTATATAATTATAAATAATAAAAAATAATTTAATTAATGGCCAATCAACCGCTTACTATTATCATCAAGCAGCTGGTTCAGTGCTTGAAGAAAATCAACGAACCAGTTTCGGTGAATAGCCTAGTCCAGTATTACAAAATTGGCATTGCCAATCCATCAGCTTTCAGGACTAAGCTTAAAATGCTTTTAGATATTGCGTCGCGTCTCGGCCTTGTTGAGGAACATAATGGTTATTATTTTGCAAGCACCCACCCAGACGACATCCTGCCGATCTTAGAAAAGCAAAGAAACAATTATTCAAAGAGCCACAACGAGGAGTCATGCATAGATTATGATCTCGACAAACATGTGGATTACGGCAGAAGCAATGAGTGCCCAGATGCTGACAGAGGCAATGCGTTGAAGAGCCCTGACAGAAGCAGTGTGTTGAAGAGCCCTGACAGAAGCAACGCGTTGGAGAGCCCTGGGGAAAGTACTGAGATATTCATAGATGCTGCTAAAGCCGACGATTTATTCTTAGAAAAACTGTTTGAGGATGCTGGCATGTTCGAGGTATTGTTTGAAGATGCTTCTATGTGCGATGAATTGTTCATAGATGCTATTAGTCGAATTTCTGTAATATTAAGAAATTAATTTTACCGTTGGATGCGGATAAGAGAGGAGTGTAATCACCGTTATCGATACATAAGGTACTTTTCTTCGATTAAATAGGATTTTATTCATAAAGCTCCCATCATAAAATACTAAAGGACTTAAAGCGGTGTCGCCAATTTGAAAACTTTGCAAATCTGAAATGGAACCCCTGCCAAATTTGCATAACGCGGTCGAGTTAATTTGTTAATTTATTTCGTACACAATGGCTAATAGCTTGTGTGTGTGACTCTGTTTGCGTATGGCTGTGTCCCGTCCCACGCGTTGCGTTTTAGAACCTGAACGCTCCACTGGCAAAAATCACTTAGCGGCTGACGAATTGGATGATAGACGCTTGAGATATTATAATCTAAATTAACTGTAAACTAATGAAAATTAAATTATATTTAAGGCACATAATATTGAGCCAATCAATTATTAGTTCGCCAAATTCTTTGTTTTTGGCTAGTCACAGTCTCCGCTCGAATCGTGTATCTCAATTCGGGTTTAACCCAAGCGACAGCAGAGCAGCCAGCATCTTCATCCCGCTCGCCTGTCTAATAAGCATAGTCGAACTAGTCCAAAATGCCGGCGACTTTCTGACGCCGTCGTCGTCGTCTTTGCCGTCGCCACAATGACGCAGGCGACTTTCACGATCCGGCTAGCGATTGAATTTTAAATGAGTGACGTGGATAAACCAAAATTTATACAAACATAAAAACATATACATAAATAAGTATAAGCTACAATAACAATTTCTGCATAAAAAATACAATTTTAATTAGTCAGATTTGTTAACTAAACAGAGCTCGAGAAAACCAAATTTGTGGCACAAGGCTAAGGCCAGAGAACCCAGATTTGTGCAGATCAGACGAGTCTTAGGAATTCCCATTTTTGTTTTGTTTTCAAATTGCATTTTATTTGTTGTGATATAACAAAATTTACATGTCAAATCCGAATGCACGACGCAGTTTGTTTTGATTTCTAATTTGTTTACGGCACCGAACCCATCTACTCATACATAAAAACAGAAATTAAGTTATCAGCATAAAAAAATTGCAACAATCATATTTCTGCGGGCAGGCCAAACATTGCGAACATTTCATTGAGGTTGAAGTCTCCATTCCATTGAAGTGTCTTCAGAAACTCGTTGAGCTTCAGAACATCGTCGAATGGCTTCAGAAACTTAAAAGTCTTTGACAGATTCAAAATCGGGCTGAACTTGGTAATAATATTATTAATGATACGAGCATATATCTGAGGAGCAGGATGATTAAATATTATGAAAGGATCAATAGATATTTACGTGTCCACTCACATCCATGAACAAAGCTATTTGCGTATAGTTGTCATAGGCTGTTCCTAGCTCCTGAATACGCCAAAAGATTTCGCTTTTGGCACTGCAAACCTCGAGAAAATGCTCCTCCATATGCTTTCTGGCTATAGCCTTAATCAAACGAACCGTGTTTCTGGCTTTGTCTTTCTGACCAGGCTTCAGCATCTGCCAGAACGGGGTGACCTTAGAAAATACTGATATCTCATCCTGTATAAAGGCACTACAGATTATCCAATAGCGAGCACCCTCCACATTGTCGGCCACGTTGTTGGGCAGAGGCGTCTCGTAGATTAGAAATTTGAAGACGGGAACAAAATCAAATGTGATTTCAATCGGCTCCGGCTCCTCCTCATTCACTTGGAGTGCCTTAATGTTGTGCCCAAAGATCTGATTGCCCATCTTACGAATATGCCAGGACAATTGATAAACTCTGCCAGCGCACTCGATTGTCTTCAGGTCATCGATTATGCTCTTCACGTGTTTGCTGATTAGGACGTGGAAATATTCGGCCGAGACGAAGCCACCTTCCACAAGGACATGCTTCTCCTTACTCTTGAGACGCAGTAAGTTTTTCCGATTCTGATAATGAAAGATTGGCTTCATTTTTAGAGGCATCTTGAAGGGCAGAAAGTAATTAAAGTCGGGCATTGAATCAATGGCGTTTCCTTTCATAAATGTCACTGCAACAGAGTTAACTTATATAATAGTCATGTTATACAATGCGTTTACTGCATACCAGTGCTTCCCAGCTCGGTGAAAATGTCGCTCAAATATGTTGTCTTCTTTTTGGAAGCCGCATCCAATGCATCCACTATCTGCTTCACATCACTGATGCAGGTCTGATAATCCTGGTCTGAAAAGCTTAGCTTTTCAATAACTTTGTCAATTGCATGCTCAAAAATCATTATTTTGCTTAGACAAAAGACTCTCAGAAAACGGTTATTCGCCGGAAAAAGAACACTCCGAATACAACTAAACTAGAAAATCGATTGCACTTTCTTATCGGGTGAGTTACCAGATCCCCAGACTGCTGTATTCACACATAGACATGTTTGTATATATGTAATGCAATTTTGAAGTTCTGCTTCGAAAGAACAACACTAGGAATTATACAACTCTGAACAAAATCGTTTGATTCGTCTCTAACAAAATTAAATTTTATAAGCCATCCTCACAATCAGCTCATTATTTAGTAATAATAACTATATAAAAGAAAAACACAATAATTTGTGTTATAATATCATTATATGCTATGCTATGTAAAAGAACCGTTGTGTTTCATTTTGAAATTTTCCCGCTACAACTTTTAATCAAAAATTGTGTTGTAGTGTGTAAAATTATAAATATCGATAAGGGGTTATCGCAGCACACACTGTTGAGCCATCGATAGTATCGGAAAAATAATCGATAATCTATCAGAACACGGTGTAATTTTCCGCAAATACGGCATGTTTGTTGCGTGATATTTTATTATTTTTGTCAATCTAACGAGCCGTCACCGAAGAATTGCAACCGGTGCAATTGCTGCTGTGCCCATGGCTGAAGTCAAGGACTGGCGGCCGTTTGTTTATGGCGGTCTAGCATCCATAACAGCCGAATTCGGTAAATAAATAGTGGCGATAAATTGTGATTTATGGCTGCTATGGCACAAAAAGAGAGAACCTAAATAAGTGTAAACAAACATTGATCTCATGTGCACGCACTGTTTATTTTTATGTAGGCACGTTTCCAATTGACACAACAAAGACCCGTCTTCAAATTCAAGGACAGAAGTTCGATGAAAGCTTTTCGCAAATGCGTTACCGTGGTATGACCGATGCATTTGTTAAAATATCAAGGGAGGAGGGACTGCGAGCATTATATTCTGGGTAAGACTAACTGCGATAGTTGTCAAATGCATTTAAGTGACCCAATAACGTGCAAATTGCACACTTGATGCCATGCATCTGTGTGTGTGTGTGTGTGAGTGTGTATGAAAGAACGTATTGATAACGAGTGTCTCGCTGTAAACTAAACTAAAAATAAAACGTCTCGTGTTATAATCCGTCAAGTATTCATCACACGAAACTTTGGCCCTGCTAGCTTGATAAGCATAGCAGTAACCCCTTAGACTTTGTTTTTTAAACTATTTACGTATATATGTATGTATGTCTATGATTTTGTGATAGTCAGATATCAGCTAATCTAACCAACTCTGTTGTCTTGCAGCATTTGGCCCGCCGTGCTGAGGCAAGCCACATATGGCACTATCAAATTTGGCAGCTATTACACGCTGAAGAAGCTGGCCAATGAACGTGGGTTGCTGACGCATAGCGACGGCAGCGAACGTGTTTGGAGCAACATAATTTGTGCGGCGGGAGCAGGCGCTATCTCATCTGCTATAGCAAATCCCACCGATGTGCTTAAGGTGCGCATGCAGGTGCACGGCAAGGGCACCGATAAACTGGGCCTGTTCGGCTGCTTCCAGGAGATCTACAAATTTGAAGGCATGCGTGGACTGTGGCGAGGCGTCGGGCCAACAGCGCAGAGAGCAGTGGTTATTGCATCTGTCGAGCTGCCGGTTTATGACTTCTGCAAACTGCAGCTGATGAGCGCTTTCGGTGATCACGTAGCGAATCATTTTATGTAAGACAAATTTTAAATTAGCTAAACAGATTTAAGGCTAACAATTCTCATTTTTAGTTCAAGCTTTATTGCTAGCTTGGGAAGCGCTGTTGCCTCGACTCCAATTGATGTCATTCGGGTAAGTAGGACAGGCATCGCAGGTATCACAGAAGTTCAAAATGTACTCTTGCTTTTTAGACACGCCTCATGAATCAGAGGCATGTGACAATGCTGAATGGTGGCATGGCCACTGCATCCGCAGCTCCGCCGAAACTTTACAACGGAAGCTTGGACTGTGCTGTGCAAACGATTCGTAACGAAGGACTTTTCGCTTTATATAAGGGCTTCATACCTACTTGGGTGCGAATGGGACCCTGGAACATCATCTTTTTCATCACGTACGAGCAACTAAAGAAACATTAGCATCCCATCGAAGATCGACAGACATCAAGTACAAGATGTATTTAGCATAGAGACCAAAAACATATTTTTTATAATAGGAAAACATAATGGAAATGAAATCAAGCCAGGGAGTAGTCACTGAAGTGCCTGTTGCATACCGATTATCTAAAAGCCGAAAAGGGAATCCACTTTGACCACTGAGTTTACGTAGAACAAAAGTAACGAAAATTGACATAATTTTTTTAAACGAAGATGCGCATTTAAAGTATTTAAAATCGCATTTTAATGAAGCTTTTGTTTAAGCTATATGCATTCTCTAGTCCTTAAATGCTTTTCAATTTCTTGCATGTCCTGTTCTCATCTCAATATCAACATCGATGTCATTGTCAATAACAATAAGTAAATTGCATTTGGTTAAACGCATTTAGAAACTTATTATTCTTAGTCTTACAAAGAAAATGTGACAACAATTAGTCTAATTTAGCTCTTGATTTGGCTGTCAGTAACAAGCTTAGTTGGAAATTGTATTTAAACAATCATTTCATTTATTCTGGAGCTTGCACTTCATTCAAATCGTTGCTGTAAATATGTAAATCTAGAGATATATATAGCATATTCGTTAGAACAAAGGACGATATATATATACTATAAGCTAAACATTAAACAGCTTAACGGAAATCTCATAATACATATAGTATTTCAATGGGTTAGCTGTGAAACAAAATGTTGAATAATTGCGGAGTCTTAAAAATAAAATGACTTGTATGTAATATTAGGATAAAAGCTATAGAAAATACATTATGTATGAGAATGCGATTTATATCGGTCAATATCCTAACGACTAACTATTGCGTATAAAATACATTTCTGAAATAAATATATTCTGATATATATGTTATGAAATACGTGGCTGTGTGATTTCGGGAATTGGGATTGTGTGAAAAATAAGTAAATATGGTGGGATTGAACCGAATCAAATAAGTAAGACTGCATACTCATTTACGGTCTACGCGCTGCCAGTTCCATAACAGTTAACATAACTTGACCGTTAAAGTTTAAGCTGTTGACTGAAAACTGTAGAATATATGGGTTTCTCCGATTTGCCATATCCCAGTGGGCTAATCCTAGTCTACATTTTGGGGCTTTGGCCATAGAGTACTTTCCATATGCCACGCCCCCAATTCATAACCTGTCTAAGTCATGTTTTGCTTCTATTTGCAAGACTATCGTTATGTCAACCGGCAAATTTGAAGTTAAGCTGTCCATTTTCAAAGTCTATTAACGTATTCAATTATATTCTTTGTCATCTCTATTTCGATGGTCCTGTTGAATTGAGCTTCAGTTATGTGTATATGTATATTCACCTTTGAATTATTTCTAGCATTGAGGCTAGATTTGAATACATGCGTACACACACGCATCTACAGCTGTAAGCCCGAAAGAATATCCTTGTTACCGAAACTTGATATAAAAATAGCTTTTTCTACCACAATGGCATGAGAATGGGCCTAATTCAGATTTGATTTTCTTTAACTTAAAAAATGAAATGATTAATGCTGTAAATACATAGAAGCAAATATAGTAGCAAATGAAATTTCTTGTACATAAAAAGTTTATAAAAAAACAATTAGCCAATCTTGTAACTGTTGCAGTATTTTTTTCTACCTTCTTTGCGATATATACCAACAGATTATCGACTATCGGGAAATTTCGATTTTAATTGCTTATCGACATTTGGCCGCCATTAGTCAAGCTAACGGACATTCAGCAAAGCCGCTCCACAGTTGTGTTTGCTATTTATTGTTTTGTAAGAAGAGAAATAGATATCGCAATACATCTAAAATGGATTTCTTGACTGCTTTGTCGACGGGCGCTAGTGTAGATGTAAGTTGATACTTCAAGGATTATAAAATTATTGAGTTATATGTGTTTCAGTATGCAACATCGGAGTATATATACGCCTTTATGCAGGCTGTAGCAAAAAATCCAAAGAATTGGTTAGGTAAAGTGTCGCATAACTTTGTCGGCCAATGCTTCAGAGCGCTGGGCTTACAGTTTAACGTCAGCGTCGAGGCATTCCAACGCACATATGATCATCCGTATAGCGCGGATAACTTAAATTACATCTTTAATGCTGTGCCCTTTGTACTGAAAAACGTGGAGTTATTTTTTAACCAACTACCGATATCGTTGGCAGTTTGTGAGAGCACAGTTGCACAAGATAGGCCAGATTCGAGGTTGGGTGGCGAATTCTACGACATAACAAATCCTGTGCTTTGTTATTTGCGTGTGGTGGACGTTTGGGCTTTTGTGGTGCGAAGTATAACTGCTAAATTACAACAGAAGGATATCGTGCGGTTTCTATGTGAACCCCTGGCCAGAATGTCTTTCTGCATATTGCAAGGCCTGGTGAAGCTGCTGCCTGAATATGGACAAAAGTTTAAGCTGCTTGAAGAGAATTGCCTTTGTCTTACAGTGCTGGTACGCTACGGCATATTGTAAGTTTGATGGTTGACTGTTAGATCTATTGTCCTAATTCCATTATTCTTGCAGCTTCAAGGAGAGCTGCCAGCTTATACTGCCATCTATGCTGGGTATGTTTAAAGAACACTTTCAGCTCTTCTGTGGGACAACAAAGTCGGCTGTAAGATTTATCTACTGGGTATTTATTTGCGAGGTAATGTTCTATAATTTAAAATATTAAATATTCTTAACAATCATATCTAAATTTAAATATTTACTATTTCCATTTCAGATGTCTGACAAGCAGACATTCATTCGGACCTACCAGTTTTTGGAATCGTTGCTTGACTACTTCGCTGAAAGCAAGCATTGCGATGCTTCGGGTAATCTTATCTTGCGCTTGATTACCAATGAGCTGATCACGGACAAATATCTTGCTGTTCAATTTGATATGCTCAAAGTGAAAAACTGCAATTCCTTGTTGCTAGCAACGCTTCACTATTTGCAGACGTTACAACGGTAGTTTGATTAATCTTAATTTGTAAACACAAATATTAATTTAATGTGTTTAGCCACTTGGTCAGCACAGATATTTTCACGCTTCGTTTTTTGGAACAAATTTTGTTGGTTTTGCTTGAAGTGCCAAATGCTTCGCTTTCGGTGTGCTCATCAGCAGCCGAGCTTTATGTAACCTTGGCAGAGCGCCAGTACTCGAAGCAGGAGATATTTGGTCATATACTGGAAACGTTTGTAAAGACCCAGAGTAGTGCAGGGAAATTTTCAAGCCATGAGAAGTTCATGTCGCTCATAAAAGTTTATCTACAGAAGCTGATGTACCACTTTCCGGCTCTACAGTACTTTAAATACTATATGAATCTGCTCAATGCAGGGAATGTACGTAACGAGCTTCTCCTTTTTACTGCACATGCCACATGCGCTCTGTTTGAGATTTACAGCGAGGAATATGAGGAAATGGAGGTTGCACGGCAGCAGGTGCACAAGCTTCTACATCATTGGCCAAAGCTCGTTAAGCACTCTGCGCGGAATACGGAGACTCGTGCCGTAATCTATGGCATCTACAGCGCAGTAGACTTTGCTGCTCTGGTAGAACACAAATCGAAAGTAAGTTATTTGGACTTTCTTTACGGCATAAATAGATTATAAACTAACCATTTGCTTTCAAAGCTAAGCGTATTGGAGAGACATTGCTTGAACATATTCCTGAACGATGATACACTAAGCGAGGCTGAATTCGCAATTCTCTTTGTAAAATTATGTCAATCTGTAGAAGTGACAGGGAATGAACAAGTACTTGTAACTGCGGCGCTAACTTTGCAAGACAGATACGCTGATATATCTATGAACATGATGGGCCGCCAACAGGAGAGCGCTCAGATGGAACTGCTACAAGAATATGGCACGTGCTTACGAAGTATTTATGCTATGATCAAACAGAACAAGCTGCGCGGCCATCAGGTATGCGATATGTACGAAACACTAGCTAGCCAGATGTTGCGTGAAACAGTAGCCAATGAACATTTGGGTATGTAAATGTAATAATAAATAGTTATATAATTAATTAATTAGCTTTTCGAATAACTTTGCAGCTCTTTATGGTTACGAGTGCTTGGCGTTAATGTTTATAGTGCTGCATTATGAGCGTAAGGATCTGGAGGATGCGCACGAGCACCTAGCAAGGTCTTTGCAGCTGGCTGAGATATTGCGCGACGACTGTGTACGCAAGCTGTCCATTTTACCACAGAATATGCCACAGACGAAATCTCTGTTTTGTGCCATTGCTGCGCTGCACTTGGGCTTACCAAATAATCTGATATTGAATGCACTCACCTATGATACGTTGTCGGCGCGACTCTCAGATGTAACGACGGCTCTGAACACACGCAGTGATACGCTAGTTTTAAGCTACGTGAAGGAGATGCACTCACTCTTTCGTCAGTTGCATGAAAATGAGCTAATTGTTTTGCCTACAAATCGCATATGGAAACCTCTATTGCAGTACAAAATTGTGAGAGCAGATTTCGCGTCAATGCAAATCGTTAAAGTTTTTAAACCGTTTTCTCATTTGCAGATTCACACAACACCTGTTTGTATAACCCGCGAACTGGAAGAGCTTATAGTGGTGCTTATAAAGAGACATATTGTCACATACGCTCATAACCTATCTGTCATTCAGTTGCACACTTTCAATGCGTGTCGCAATAAGAATCGCTTCTCAGTTGCACTAGCTGCCCATATGCGTCTTGTGGAGGTGAATGCAAGTGCGAAAGATGCGTGGCTGTTAAGATTACACGTATTCAATGCCTCTCTGGAGCTACTTGTGAATAGGTTGGCTGCGCTTCGTACAGAATCCGAAGTTACAACCTCACGTAATAATCTTTTTCCCTTGCGTCATTTGCTTTTGTTGGTGAATAGACTGCGCCTTGAGGAAGCCCACTTTATGAATATGTACGTCATCCGTAAACCCAGTGTTATCACATGCTTAATTCAATTGTATTTTTGTACACAGCGCTCGATTGCTTAGCAGCCTGCAGGCAAATGTTAAGACTGATGCCGATAAAAGAGAACTTGATAAATTTATTACGCAGATTAGCGCTTACAAACACTCTTGCGTGGATGTTGCTAAGACCAGCTTAAAACCTCAACCTCCGGGTCCCATGGCTTTGTGGCAGGCAAAAGCGTTTAATTACTCATTAGATAGTGCACGGAAATTGGACTTCTCACTGCAGTAACTAACTGTTGACAGTAAAGAAACAAATATATTATATTTATAATCAGTTTCAATGTTAAGTGTCATTTGATATTCAAAATTAATTCGACTTATATACTTAATAAGTTATATGTTTATTGTATATATATTTTATATGTTTATTATTATCCATTGATAACTTCAATAAACTGGAGATTTGTTTCCTTGTTCCTGTGCATAAAATATTTATTTTGTTTACGTTTTTGTTATACTACATAAATAAATAAAACAAAAAATGTATATAAGACATTCGAGCATAGGATTCGAAGCAATTCATATGTATTTGTCATATATTTCAATACAAATTCCACGAGTCGTTCGAAAGAATTCACAACAATATTATAAAACATTTGTTTTCATATTTTTATTGAGATGAGAAGAAGGATGTCTTCCAATGCTGAAGCTTGCTTAGCTGGCTCTACGATGAACGATGCAGTCCGTGAAGCGGAATGTCTGGAGCGCAAGTCTTTGGTGGTTTGGAGGCAACCATTAAAAACGCTGAAATACAGCATCTTAGAGCTGTTTGGCATGTTGAGTGGGCTTGGATCCCGTCTCTTGGACCGGCGATTCTTGTGCAGCCTGCTAGTCTTATTGATTATCTATAATATTCCAGGACCACATTCATCTTATTTGGAGGTCTGTCGGCATAATATCGGCTTTATCGTTTACTGGATGGGCTTGGGCCTGCTGTCCTCGGTGGGCTTTGGGACCGGGCTGCACACCTTTCTGCTGTATCTGGGACCTCATCTAGCTGGTGTTACATTGGCTGCTTACGAATGTCACACATTAGACTTTCCTGCGCCGCCGTATCCGGATCAAAAGATATGTCCAAAGGAGCCATATATACGTAAGTTGCCCAACACCTGGGAGATCTTGTCAAAGGTGCGAGCCGAGACCATGTTCTGGGGCGTGGGCACTGCACTGGGTGAGCTGCCGCCTTACTTTATGGCCAGGGCGGCACGTCTCTCCGGCAAGTCTCTTCTGCAGGAGTGTCAATCGGAGGAGCCAGAGCAGACTGAGCAGCAATCGGAGAAGGGGGAACAGTCGCAACGTCTTAATTTATTTGATAAAAGCAAACTTCTCGTGGAGCGCGTTGTGCTGCGCATCGGTTTCTTTGGAATTCTGTTATGCGCTAGCGTGCCAAATCCACTCTTCGATTTGGCTGGAGTTGCCTGTGGCCATTTTCTGGTGCCCTTCTGGAAGTTCTTTGTGGCCACGCTGATCGGCAAGGCGGTTTTCAAGTCCAACATACAACAACTGCTAGTCATTGTGGCCTTTAGCGAGGACTTGATCGGTGTTCTGGTCAAGGCACTTGGTCAGGTGCCCTACATCGGCTCCAAAGTCCAGGCACCCCTCCATAACCTGCTGACCTCCACCAAGCAGCGCATGCACCACAAGACGCACGACAATCGCGACAACGCGACTTCGTTCACTGGCTTCGCTCTCGTGGCGCATCTCTTACAGCTGCTGGCATTTCTCATTGTTGTCTACTTTGTGATCTCGGTGCTGAATGCCCTAGCACAAAGGCGTTGCAAGCGACTGCAGCTGGAGAAGATGGAGAGAGTCGATGCACACGTTGAGTTAGCTCAGAAAGATGATCCCTTAGAGGCGACACTCAAAGCTTTGCCTAAAATTGACGAAAGTATAGCGGAAATCAACGGCTAGACCAATCATATACACCTCAACTCTAGAAAGTCTTTCGCATGCTATATATTTTGGGAATTTCGGAACTTATTATGCGGATGGAAGCTGGTCGCCTATCAGGAATTGAAGTTGGATCCAAATAAAACATTCAATTGAAATTTGTTGTATCGTTTATTTCATTATCATTAGTTCTGTTTTGCATTGGGATTTCTATTGTTTTTGAAATGTAATTCAATGCCATCATATTATAATATCCATTGTACATTTACATTCAACAGCGATTTAACACAAAGCCAAGCATTAACTTAATGCGTTAATTTTTATTTGTTATATTATTTGAGTTTCATTTAGTTTTCGACTCTCTCTGATGCATACAAAATATGATATTCGATTTTAACTAATTATGCACATGACTGACTTGACTGACTGACTGACCGTATGTAGATTCGCATATATGTATGTATAGCGCGAGTCTATAATGTATTGAGATTTCTGGCGTTTTCTGCGCTTACTGATATAAAAACCATACTTACAAAAAGTACATTCAAATGGTACTATCTTTCGGTATAAAAACCCATATGCACACACTTCTACGCCTACGCCTACGCCTACGACTGACTACATCTAAATTGCGTCTAACATATTCAACTACAATCTTCTTATATGCATGGCCTTATCGTATTATACCCTATTTAGTTGCGCTTGCGGATCCGTTGATTCGTTATTAGTCGAACTGGTCGTGCTTAGCTCGGCTCTCATCTCTTAACATGCTTCAAAACAAATCAATTCAATTGTATACGATAAGCGATATTCGATATTCGATATACGATATTCGGTACTCGATATAACATATACGTTAGACAATATACGATATATGGTCTACGATATACGATATATGACATTCGGTATACAATATCATATACGACATACGATAAACGATTTACGATATACAGTTTACGATATACGAGTGCTCATGGTTTGATGCATGAGAGTAATTAGAACACAGTTTATTTAATATGAGTCGAAATCATAAGGATTAGAGAACATTTCCATCAAATGAATAATTGAATTTCTTAGTTTCAATCAGTTTTTAGCTATTTCAGATGACAAAGAGTACTTTTTGGGAGCTTTTATTATAGAGTTTTAATAGCTAAATACATACATACATATACATACATGCAAACAGACGTAAAGTTTAACTATTTGCGGCAAAGTCTTTTCAATATATATATATATATATGTATATATATATTTATATATATAGATATATATATAGAGAGAGAGAGAGAGAAAGAGAACTGGACAGAGATAGAGACTCAATTTGGGAGAAAGAGAGTTTAGAAAATATATTTAACACATTTTGAACATTTACAAATTGTTAAAAAAAATGGGAAAAGTTCACAAACATTTTCATTTATTTATTTATTTTATTATATATTATTTTTGTTTTCGTTTTTCTTGGGAATCGTTATATGGTACTCTGTTGCGATCATCTTTCGTGATTATTCCACTTCTGCAATCATAATTCTCATTTGTGTTAAGCAGTTACGATCTCTCGGGGAAAGATATTATTAGGTTTCGCACAATTTTCGCTAATTGGATTAAATTGTATTTTTTTGTATATTTTAGCTACATTCATATACGACACAATCGTTACAGATATCTCATTCCGGCATAATTTTCTTAATTGTTTCGTTTTCTTTCGTTTTTTAGTAATTTATATTCCTGTATTGCATAAATTAGTTTCTGCATATAAAACAATTTTACGATTAATGTTGGTTTGTTTAATAATTTAGATTAATTTGTTGTTACTTTAAGTATTTGTTTCTCTTTAAGTTATTTTTTTGGTTTCTTTTCTAAAATTTGACGCCTAATACAATTTTCATTAATAATTTTGGTTAAAAATTCATGTTATCATAATATCATCTGCCTATAATTTACGATAAATATTTGTATGAAGTTGTTTTTTTAGTATACCTATATTATTTCTCAAAAAGAAAACTAGAAAAGGAATATAAAGCATTCGAAAAGTTGTCGGAATGGAATAGAATTTCTTCTTCGAAAAGAGTTTTATAATCTTTCAAACGATTCAAAGCAAAGCATAATATGAAATATGAGAATCAAGAATCGAATCCTTATATAATCTCAAGAGAAGACAAATTCATATTTATAATACAGACATATATTATATTAGATATTACGGTTATAGGTTCTTCTAGGTTTCTGGAACATACGTGTGTATTATTCATTACTTTGCAGCTAGCTTTTATATTTTTACAAACGCCTAGACAATTTGGTTATTATAACTGTTACTTTTATGTGTATGTAGGTACGTTTATTGTGTTTTCATAATTAAAAAAAATTAATTAATTAAAATTGTTTTCTTTGCGTGTTTTATTGCTCTCTCAGTTCGTAAGGGAAATAAACATTCAACTGTCCTATGGAAGTAATTTGAAAGACGAATCGTAAGCAGCTGGCTCTTTGTAATTGTTTAGATATTATTGTTTATTATTAGTATTATTATTATTATTCAACTTTAATATGTACTTTAAAAAATATTAACGGCGGGAAGTACTACAATCGTAACTTGAAGCATTTGATTTAGTAAGTTTTGCTTTTATTTCCTTCTTGAGTTGGTTTAATTCTTTTTACGCTTAGTTAATATAATCGTATTTGTTCGATTTGTAGCAAAATGTAATTTGTTTTTCGTTTTGTTTTGTTGATTGTAGAAAAATGTATGCGGACTCTTGCTTCCAGTATGTGACTTCAAAATGTAGTTAAATGTTTCATCAAAAAGAGCAAAATTGTGTTTTGTATTGTCCTTTAATGTCTCAAAAATTTGTCATTTAGCATTTGGTTGTGGTTCCTTCTTATCGAATGGATCGTGAAATCTTTTTAATGTTGATGACGAGCATATCCTCGCACTCCTCACAATCTCCCGTCTGCACGAGTATATGCTCTCAGCTATAGACAATGACAATGAACTATGAAAATTGAGTTTCTGAAGTTATTTAGTTTTTGTATTAATATTGTCTACTACTTATTTACATCCCTTGTTCATGTTGTTGTTGTTGTTGTTTTTGTGTCCATATTATTTATATTTAGAATTCGTCTTTATTAAAATCAATATCGGCTTCATTATATATATTTATATATATGTATGTTTTCTATATATATCGTAAGTTAGTTGAATGTTAGACCAGCTAATCCTCTTCTCATTGAGCTTTAATACCTTCAACAGTTACAGGGAAGCTGATTTTAAAATTCTGCTTTAAATGCCATCGATTGTTTTATTCATTACTGATGCTCGCTCACGGTTCGGTTGGAATTATCATGAAAACATAATTCAAATAAATTGAATACTTTTAAAGCAAATGCCAACAAATGTGTTACATGGCTGTCAGTAAGGAATTTGCCAAGGACTCTTTAGTGAAGCTGAAGGCTTACTTTCTGCTCCGACTACGCGGTATATCTCTAGCATATGTTCTAAAATATTTGTTATCTCTAGTTGATGCCACTTGCTTGGTTTGGTTTATTTTCGGTATCGGGATTTTTAGCTATTTGTGTTAAATTGTAAATTAATTTAAATTAATTTTATATATATATATATATATGTATATATATATATATTTATATTTATATATAAGCTATATACAATTGCATTGGTTATCCGACAAATTCGTGCTCTTTGAAGGCACAATTTGCCCAACGCATTCGAGATTCTGTCTGGGTACGAGTAGATCTCTTAAATATACACCCTGCGCGGTGATGTCCACATTGTTGTTGTTCTTGTTGTTGTTGTTAAGTATAGTCAAACAGTCCTGTAGAAAAAAGAAAATTTAAATATGCTATTTAAATTCGACAGGAATTTGGGGTGTTCCATTACGCACTTCATTTAATGCTCTGCAAATATCCATGAAATCACTTAATTAAGTGCAGATTATTGTGCTCAAGTCAATTATTTTTGTTGGTTTTGCTTTTGCGTCTTTCACTTTCACAGTTCGTCAATTCGGATTGTCTTAAACGAACCACTCGTCCTTTTGAGCGGCGCCGACAGCGGCATTGGCATTCGGATGATTGCCAGCAACGGCGATGTTCGTCTGGCTGAGTCCGGTTGAGTTTTGTGAAAGATCTTGACCTAATTGACGGAATTTGCCAAGCACCAAATGGGACGGACTTTGGTGGCCATCTTCAAGTAGTTGTGTGGAATGCGGTGGTACCCGTATGGTCCCGCAGGGTGATGCCAGTTTCCCGACGCCGGTGGCAGCTGTGTGTGCTCCCTCGTCAGGGTGCCGCCAACGCCAATGCCCATGCCCATGCCTACGCCATGGTAATGCAAATGCTTAGAAGACCCATTCGTCTCGGCATTGTGATGCACTGCAGTCGGGATAAGAAATATAGATTATTAAGTGTGCTACACCAAGTGGAGCCTTCACTTACGTTGCAGTGCGGTGTTCTGGTTGGCGGCATTCTCGTCCTGGCGCCGGCAGACGCAGATCGCAATGGCCACAATGAGTGCGCTGAGCACCAGCAGCACTCCGACCACAATCAGCACGAACCAAGTCATGTCCACGCCAAAGACCGTGCTCGTCGTCTCATCTGCAAAAGGTAATTGTTAAACGAGACTCAGTTTTATTAACAACTCGTCTGGCTGGTCGCCGGTCACTCACTCTGGCATAGGTTCTGCACGGACTCGTCGGAGTTGTCGCCGCAATGGTTGACGCCATCGCACAACAGATCGGGATTTATGCAGAATTCGCGTGTGGCGCACGTGAAGTCCTTGCACGTATGCTCTGCAAATTGGCAAAAGTCACAAATTGTTAATAACTAATCAGCAGCCAAAGGGATTCGCTCGTCCACTTACTGGGATCCTTCACCGATGTAATCACCAACTTGAAACCGTTCGCATCTGTGCCCCAGCCATCGGTCACGTACTTCAGCGTTACGAAGTTCGTGCGCGTCAATATCGCATTCACTGTGTTCTTTGTGTTCCGACAGGAGATGTCAATCTGCAAATGAAATTCACATGAATAATTTCTATTTGGCTGTTAGACAGATGAAATATTAATCAATAGTTGGATACAGCGCTACGAGCAGTTTCGATTCAACTCTAAAAAACATTTTTAAAAAATATTAAACTCTCCTATCATCATTTTCAAAGCTTAGCCCTCTAACTGGACAAACTATTAAATTGGCATCGCCCAATTGGCCAGAGCTTTAGCTGAACTATGCAAGTGGGGCAATGCTGAAGGCTTGTTAGCGACGTCCACAAAGGGGCAACGCTGACGCGTGAAGTCTCATCATTGCCATGGAGAAAGCCTCGCCCAACTAAGCACCTTGAGGTGGCATCAGTTGCCAGGGCTTAGTCCACCTTTCCCTTGTCCATTGTGTTGCCTGTTCCCTAAGCTTGCGGTTAGTTACGCACATTTAGGTCACATACATACGTACACAGGCATACGTACATATGCTTGCAATGCAGTTTTCAATTCCTGGATGCCCGCAGGACTTTGTAAACTATGTTGGCTTGAAGTATCTTCGCATGTTTTTAAAACAAGCTTCGATTCTTGGCTTAACTATTATAAATATACTTTTAAATTCACTCAAATTATATAAACATAGTATGTGCAGCTATGTGGAATATGCTATATGTCTGTCTCTCTTTCGCTAACTATGGAACGCCTCATGACTTTACCATTTCGCCTTGCTGTTTCTACTACTACTACTTCAACGTACAGCTGCATTTATATTGTTCGCGTGTTTTCTAGCAGCTTACATGCATGATAAATTAATGCACACTAATACACTGACGCACAACTTCAATAATCTACACTCTCTCTACTCTCGCTTCCGATCCACTCACGAGCAGGCACGAGCACATACCAGCATATACTAACGGTCTCGTGCTCTAACTTGCTGGGCCTTCAACTTCAATGTGGAAGTCAGGCTCTCTCAATTTAGATCCACACACACGAGCAGGCACGAGGACACACATACAAACACACTCTCTTTTTAACAGTTTCCACCGCTCACCATGAAGTAAATCAGCAGCAACTAATTCGCTGTTCTATTTATAGTATAGTACTCGCTTTAATAACATCGCTTTTACAGTATGGCTTGGCGCTTCTGTCTACAGCTTTCACTCTTTGTGCAATTCCTCTTACTTCTGTCATTTGGCAAAAACATTCTAACTATCTCGCTTACTCTCATATAACTTGCTAACTAAAGAGTCGCTTATAAAAACGATTATACGTACGTAAGTATAAGCAATTGTCACGACTGTCAGAGCAGGCAGCTTGAAACTTACAAAAAATTTCTAATCTTGTTCATTATAAACAGCCAGACCCTACTCAAAAAACAATTATAATTGAATAATTTGAAAGTTTTTCTGCTTTCTGATTAGGCAAAAGAAATATCCTGGATTATTTAAAATTGGCACAGCTTGGGGTCCATTTGCTCATAAATTTTGCTTGAAAAAGCTAAAAGTTTGCCACTGTTGCTTGTTAGCATAAAGTTGCAGCTCGTTCGTATCATCAACACCGTTGATGCCACAAAGTGCACAGCGTCAAGGAGGATGATGATGCTGATGACGATGGAGAGGACTTCTATGCCACGTGCCACGCCGTGCCTCGTTCGCTTTGTGTAAATTTGTAATGTTGCTTGCGCTGCACATGCAACCTAAAAGTTGCAGCGGGGTTCATCAAAGTCCACGTCCCACCCACATGCCATAGACACCCACACACAGTCTCTCTCTATGGTTGTGTGTGTGTGTGTGTGCGTCATCGTTGAGGTCTTTGCTGCGGTTGCCTGTCTTGGCACAGCGTCCTGGTTTACAGATCCGAGGTTGTGTGACTGTGAGACTGCAGCTTCTGTTGCAGTTGCTCGGCATCTTCGACGTGCGGCATTTTGTGGCATATTTTAATTTTGTTGCAGCCCCAAAAACGCAAACTTTCCGCTACATTTTGTGCGCCCCGCTATGCCCGCTGCTTTGAAGGCAACTCACACACACACACATAGAGAGAGGCTTGCACGCCTGCAGACAGTGTGGCCAAATTTTAATTTTGTATTTTGAAAGCAGTGACAATTTCTTTTGGGCCAAGAGTATTTACATGCCAAGACACTTGGCTCGACTCGACTCAAATGTTATTGGTTTTTCGGCTTTCAGGTTTCGGCTGTCTCTGCTGCGGCTAGTTGCATGCAAATGAGACTCGACTCGACTCGAATTAAGTCGCTGGGAAATTCATAAATCTGTCCGCATCACTCATACGCAACATTGTGCAATGATACAAAAAGGGCTGGCTGGCTGGCTTGGTGCGAGATGGGCTAAAAGCAAAGCTGTGCAAAGCTTCTTAGGTCACATGCAAAGTGGGCGTGGTACAGGAAATTGACTGGCTACTGGGTGCAAGACCTTCGTAAGTCTGTTGCAAAACAAGCCACTTGGCAAATATTTAAGCAAAGGCTCTTAAGATATGACTTGGCGAAAAAACAAGCAACAAAGCAAAATGTCAAGAAATTCTTAATGCAAGTTAAAAAATAATCGGCTTTCAGCCTGAAAGACATTTCATAAAAATGCTTAAAGTTATTTAATATTTGACAACAAATTTAATTATTGCATTATTTTTACACTTTTTTGTATATGGTCTCTGGTCTTAATCAATAACTGATTTAAGTAATCAATAATTACATCATTTCTGGATAATATGAATATATGACACTATAAAATTTTTGATAGTTGTCAAAGTTACCTTAACTGTAGGCAACATAATCCTTGTATCTCTAGATCTATACCTGGAAGGTTTTCAGTATTATACATAGGAAAATATTCACTTTATTCAATTTATTTAGTATAGCTGAGGTAACTTGCGTTATAAATATATAAACTCTTTAGCTCTTCTATATAAGCGTGGCTTATACTCATGGATCCTGTAAAGAAGTAATTGGACGATCATCAACAGGCTTAATTTCTCTCTTTTTACTTTTATTTGTATGCCTTTATTAGCAGCTTAAGTAAATTTTTCCATCTTCATATGCAAGTTTATTCGTGTTCTGAAGGGAATATGAGCTCTATATTTGTGTAAAAGACTCTATCCAAGTTTAATGAGTTTGGTTCATAAAATGTCCTAAAAGATTACACAATTTCAACTTGTATATTTAAGACTTGCTCTTCACTTTTCTGTTAAGGTATTTTTAATTTTTCTATATAAAGATATATATAAATATATATATCCGTGGCCTTTGCCATTAAAATTGGAGCAGGAGCTGGTGGCACGAATTTTGCAGCCACGAAACCACCTGGACGAAGGTAGCGGCAGTTACATTGATTGGCACTTTGTCTTAACTGTCCGCCTTGGAGTTGACTTCTCGTAATTAGAAGCTTAAAGTGCCATCGATTTTGTCATAAACTTTCGACTCGTTAACTTTTTATGGAGCATTCCGGCCGACACAGCAATTATGTTGAAGCAATTCAGGTTGACTAACGAATATATATAAAAATATAATTTTATATTATATCAAAGAATGCTGCAGTCATAATATGCGCTACTTGGCTTAAGTGGCAATGCATAAGTATGCATACATTAACTTATATATTATCATATTGCCAAATGAATACAGTGCAGGCAGAGTCTGGTCTGCTCTAGTCTCTAAAAGACGCATTCCTGGGAAATTTTTGTTGTGGCTTCTCTGCGATTTAAGAATTTAGCTTATGCTTGTGTGCGGCTGCTTGCCTTGGCTTACATTTCACATACAAGCACACATGCCACACACGTGCCACGCCCACGCACAAGACGAAAAATATAATATATGTGCAGCGCCAGGCCAACGGGGCGTATGAAAAATGAAAATTGTTGCTGATAAAATCAGAGCGCTATCAGCCGGCAGTTGGCAGCTGCCATTTGGCGCCGCATTGCAACCGCAGTGGTGCATAAGCCACCCAACCAGACAGTCTCAACTGAACCAACCAACCAACCACCCACTCGCCTAGCGACAGAGCGATCGACCGACATTCTTACCCGTTGTCATCGTTGCAAATTTTGCAGAGTCTAAAATTATGCCTTCATTTGTGTGTGTGAGTGTGTGGCACTGCGGAAACCCCGCAGGGATTGAACTTAAAATGTCAGAGGCATCAGCGTGCTCCGATTGTGCATGTGGATCATGAGGCTGCGACACAAATTGCAACGGCTTTGCCTTTGCCTTTGCTTTGACTGCTGCACTCGCAGCCATAATAATTGGCCTTAGCGTGGGCTAATCAAATTAACAAACAGCAAAATCGAAGAGCTGAAATATGAAATTTACTTTTTGAATATTTGCTCACCTTTGGCGTCGATACAGCGTGTGCCCCGTCGTAGACAAGCAGGTGATCATTGCAGTCCAGCTGGAGCATGTCGAAGCGCAGCATGAAGCGCTGCAGAATCGAGTGGGTTTGGAACGTGATGACACAGTCCAAATTGCGCTCATTCTGGGACCAGAGGACGGCGCCATCAATTTTGCGATAAAGCTGCTGCAGAAAGTGGTTCTTGCACAGCGATTGCATATAATCTACAAAGAAGACAGAGAATGAGATCACGGGATTAGGGAAAATGCGGGATAATAGAGCAAAGTTTTTAACTTTTGCTTAATAATTTAACAATTTAACAATTTTGTGGCGAGTTCTTTTTGCACAGTTTTGAGAGGAACCAGCAGCGGATGCCACGTCCTGTTCCAACTTCTAAACTTCCTTAAACTTAATGGTTGCGATTTCCACAACGGTGGCCCATCGCCCACAGCACACCGCCCGTCGGCAGCCTCTCGTGCGTTGCGCCGGAAAATGTGCACTTAAATTTTAATGGGGGAGTGAAAAATTCATTTACGCTTCGTTTCACGTATTTCTGGCACACGTTTCCATTCATTTGCCGGCTGCCAGGTATTGGTTGCAAATCGTCCATGAGTGGGCCACATGCTACATGCCACACACCGCATGAGTATGTGCCAAGTTCATTTAATATATAAGGCTAAGACCAAAAAGGCGCCAATGATAATATGTTTAATATAAAACATATATTATCTAGATATTTTATTAAGATTTCTCTTCAACTCTTCTAAAATCAAGAACTGCTAAAAAATCTTTTATTTCGTTAATTTATTCAAAAATTATATACAATTTTAATAATAAATAATAAAAATATTTTATCTACTAAAATTTTATTTTTAATGTTTGCAAATAAAATTCTTTAGAACATTATTGCATAAATATAAAATTAAATTACTTCATGAGTTTAAAAATTATTTTTTTTTACATTATTTTTTATCATCTCTAAAATTGGTTTTTTTTTCTAAAATATTATTGAAAAAAATGTATATATAAATAAATATTTATTTCAAAAAGCTGGTTACTTTCCCTAAATCAAAGACTCGTAAATTTATATTGAAAATGATGAAATTAAATAAGCTGATCAAAGACTAAACAAATTGGGTCTGGCTAATTTATTATATACATATTATAGCTATATAATTGCAAATTATTATTTGCGTAATTATGTGCTCTCAATGAAATTCTGCTATAAAAATTAAGGAAAACAAAAATTGTACTTTAATTAAATTTAATAAAACTTTAATTAAATTTAATTAAATTTAATAAAATTTAAAATTAAAATTTGCTAATAATTATGCGAAAAAATATAGAAATAAATTAACTGATTTCATTATGAAATATTTATAATCTAGCTCTCTGCTCCAAGCCGAGCTCAGTTGACTAAATAATATGTGAAAAGTCAGAGAAGAATGGAATAAAGTACATTTCTCTCTTTCCTTTTCTCTCTCTCTCAATTTCAATTCCTCACTCTGAAAGGATATTATGATTTTTTTAAATCAAACAGAAATGACGCAAAGAAGAATCAAACAATATGCCCCTCTCTTTCGCTCTAACTCACTTTCTCGTTCTCTCTCTTTCTCTCTTTTACGTTTTGCTTGCCAGGAAATAAACTTTTCTTTCCGACTCAAAAGTTGCTTTTGCTGAAATCCTGAGCATCGCTATGGCTGGCAACGGGAATATAAATTGCATTATTTAAATGACTTTCAATTAGTGTTAATAATCAAAACTATAGCGCTTAAGTGCGAAATCCATTAAGCTGAAATGAATGCCATTATCACGAGCGACGGCCGTGGACTTTTTGGACTTTGGACTTTGGACATTGGACATTGGCGGTGCATGCAAATGAAGTCAGAAGCGGCACACAATTGTCGCATAAAAGCGTGCAGAGACCGAACAACTGGCTACATTTCAGATTTTAATGAAACACATTCACACACCCTCACACATACAGTGGTGTGCGGGTGTGTGTGTGGTTGGCGGGGCGTGACGGGGCTTACGTGCGCCTGATTTCAGGCAATTTCCTGCTTAGCAACCGCTTCCGCTTTCGCCGTCGCACTAATTCAATTTCGCTTCAATAAGGCGCCGCGGCGAAAGGCGAAGCAGCAGCTGAAAAGATGTCGACGCAGCAGGCCATAGCAATGGGTGAGCCACACGAGAGGCGAATTTCGGGGTGGGTGTCAAAGAATTTAGTGCAAATTCGTTTTACGCCATTGCCACACACACACGTGCACACACGCACACAATCGCACATGCAAACAAAAACCGGCCGCGCATGAGGCTGTTAGTGCGAAAGAGAGAGTTAGAGAGCGAGAGAGAGGGCGAGAGCGCAGCTGGCTGGGTCGGCGTTGCCACACGTTTTGTAAATGCTTCATTTTCAGGCAGAAATGTAAGCGTTGCCATTGCTGGTTGTCGCGTTGCCAACTTCAAAATTGAATTCACAATTGAATTGAATTGCCGGCAATAGCGGCCCCTTTTGTTTAAGACCAACACTCTCGCTCTCGCTCTTGCTCTCTCGCAGCGGTGGAAGCCACTGCCACCGTCCAGGTGCCCGGGCACAGACAGTTTTTGCGTGTTTTATATGTAATTGGCAATTTTGTTACACATTTTGCTTTGATCTTCGCCAGGTGAGCAGCGGCGGCATTGGCAGCAGGTGATTGGGGGGCGGGCTCAAGTGGGCGGATGCACAAATTTGCCGCAAGGCATTTGCCAAATAATTCACGATTTGCGCCCCCAAACCAAATGAAACTTTTCGTTGCGGTTCGTTGGCTTTTTATATACCTACACATGCACACACATACACACATATATATATATATTTCCTCTTGCCAGCCGCTGTCCTAACCCTAAGATTGATTACTGTTTCAGTTTTTGGTCCACTTGCTGATGCGCCCGTAACTTTCTTCTTATGTTTCTTTTTCTTTCTGCAGAAATGTGAATAATTTAATAGTACATGCATGCATGATCTATTAAATTAAGTGAAACATAGATTTGCTATATGTCTAGCCAAATGGAGTGCAAATGAGGGTTGCAGCTGAAGCTGAAGCAGCAACTGGGAGCCTGTGAGAAATAGAATTTCTGCACAATTTGACACAGGATCTGCACTGTCTGGAGAGTTAGCTTCAGTCGAGTAAAGGACAATTGTAATATATCAATTACGAATGAAAGCAAAGTGCTTTACCCACACACACCCACACACACACATATATATATATACAGGCTCTTGTGTTTGCAAGTTGAGTAGCGAAATCCTTCAATCATTTCTAGGCAGGCTTCACTGAGGCACAGTGCACTGAGCACTCGAGTTCTGTCCCAGCTTCGGCGCCAACTGCTGCTCCTGCCTCTGCTTCTGGTACAGCATATCTACATAATATCGGGATTACTCATATTGCGCAGCTGTGCTCCGCTGACATTGGGGATTTCACATGTGGCACAAACACGACAGCAATCCGTTGGGAAGTGAACGGCAGCAGCAGCAGCAGCAGCAGCTCGCTCGTGTGACAGCTGAAGCTGGCTAAGAGCTAAGGATAAGCAGCGCGTCAGATACATTTTCTATAAATTCTGGCAGAAAACAATTTCATTTGCAGCTACAGCGCGGCTCCTACTGTCTGCCAGCTGAACTCCTCGTCCCAGCTGCCCAGCAAACTCTGTTTATGCACTTTGTGCCTGGGCGCAAGGCCTTTTAGCCATGCCTGACATATACCAAATCAGTTTGTATATACCTACACATATATATCTGCCACTACATTAGTGGAAAATCAAAGCAAAAAGCATTACAGGTGAAATGTTCCGAAAGCCCTTTGATAGTCTATAATTTGTCTGAATTATAAAAGTTACAGTCATGGCTCGCTAATGGGAACTATTCATTATACATACAAGATTTTTAGCATTCAAATGCTCTGAGTTTTATGCAATATATTAGAGTTGAACTACTTAGTTCAATTTGCTGAACTAGATCATTCGTTTCTTAGTTCTCAGTAGTCTGTTATTTAGTTCATGAACGAGCTCAGTAGTTCATAGCTAACTAGATAGAAATAATGATTTATAGCCAATTAAAATTTACAGTAAAGATTACACTCTATAACGTACATTTTGTTACTGTAGTAAAATATGATTTTAAAATATTTTTTTTATATTTCAAATCAAATTTAAAATCTTAAAGTGCGATAAGTCAATAACTTTCAGCTCCTAACTCAAAATTTGTTTTCTCGGTTTAAGTGATGTTTCGAAAGGTAAAATTTTGTTGAGCAGTGTTAACATTGATGACCCTTAGGTACGCTATCGCTCACGATTCGAAAATAGCTACAGTGAATCACTTCAATGAGTCTTTCAATTGAACTTATAAAAACCTCACTCTAAACTTGATAAAAAATCTATTTGTAAAGTAAAATTGAGTTTTAAAAAAAAAAGAACTAAACTAGTTCCAATTTTAATTAATGTTTAGACTAATGATATCCTGTAATGAAACTGAAGATGTTTAACTACTTTGTCCATAAACTACCGTTACAGTAAAATCTCTTAAATTAGAACATTTCATCTGATAACAAATTATGAAACTCTATGGACATTTGAGAACAATTGAGCTAGTTCCATTAACTGGAACATTAATCAAATATCGATTCAGTCAGCTACATCAAGGCAGACAGGCAAACTAGCTGAACTAGTTCCATGTATACTTTGGCAGCCCAGCTCCTGATCTGAAGGGAGCATTGAAATGGTTCTCTTCTCACGAAAAGTACTTAACTAGTTCCATTAGCCGGATAATGTGGAATGTCAGAGCGAACAGCTCAGAGCGCTCCAAAGAGCTGGCGCCGAGAGGCTCGTGGTTTTACGATTGCGGATTGGATGGCTTGGCTACTCCTGAAGGCACAAATCCTGTTCGCCCTGGCTGCTGCCGTTGCTGCTGTTGCGGTTGTTGGTCATTTGGTAACGGCCTCAGCTGAGCTCCCCAAATGGGCTACAAATCCAAGGCCAAATTATGGCTCAGGGTCTTAGTTGGCCAATTTCCCCTCAACCCACACACACACACACACACAGACAGCCACAAAGCAAGATTTCCATTTCTTATTTGTTGTTGTTGTTGTTGTTTTTGGTGTATTAAGTGCTCAGTTCGCAGAAAATGAGCTCGAGGCATGGCTCACGCAGAAGGATTTTCAGTTCAGCTCAGCTCAGCTCAGCTCAGCCGAGTTTG